TGCAGCTTCCATTGCCTTCATCACATGGCTTCATGTCATGATAGTGCTGTAGTGAAACACTTCTGTTTGCTGCACGTCAAAGGCTTCTCTTTTGCCTCCAAGGTAGATTTCTCAAGTGGTGCATGTTGTTTAATCAAGCAGTAGGTCAATGAAGTTGGATTGAATGGGGACAAATGGTTGGGCTTCATTGGACTGTGTTCTGGCATGACTCCCTGGGAAATGCTCTTGTAGGTTGACCTGCAGGCCACACCTTCCTGTAGCTCAGACAAAGTGTGCTGTGTTTTCATATTCATACATACTCTTCTTTGGCTCTGGAAGCCCTCTTTGCTGATTCCTTTGGGAAAATGTGAGAGCCACTAGGCAAACCTCCCCTAAGCTTCTTATCTTGAGATATTTTGGATTAGGTGGATATAAACCAATGCATCTGGGGGGCATCAGGTTGGGGGAAGCAGTAGTAAGCCACTTTAGCAAAACACTCAATACAGAATGGGACAGTGTTGCTAGAATTACACATGCGTATGCAGACACTCTTGAGGAAACAAAGCTTTTGAAAAAAAAGAATTGTTGTTAAATTGGAGTGTGCAACTTTGATTTTAAGGAAAGATTCACAAGATCCGTACGAGATGTCTGTCTTGCTTGTTAATCCCTGTGAATTTTGCCTTCTCGTGTCTATAAAACCTGTTTTCACATGTATTTCTTCATGGTGGTGGTGGGGAGATCGTGGCTGAGACTGAACTAGTTCTGTCTGCCCCTTACATCTTCTTTCTACACTTTGTGCTCCAGGTTGAGGTTGCTGAAAAATAAGAACGTATATTCATATCCAAATGAACTTTATCTTTTGATTACCATTTTTTCTTTTGCCTTTCTGAGAGCTTTGATGTCCTGGACCCCCATACTGAGTTCTTGCACCCATCCTCATCTTATTCTTCTGTGCTTTTTAACTCTAAATTTCTTGGGTTTTTCATCGCCCTGTTCTGTCTGTCACCCTCTTATTAGGCACTCCAAAAGGGGTGCAGGATTCTGGAGACAGTGCAGCGTGTCTTTAAACTTTCCCTCTCATTCTGAGTTCTTCTGTCATAGCCTTAGAATGCCCCATTCGGTGGGAGGTCTGGGCTCTAGACTTTCAGTTTCAGTTTGCAGCCATCCTTTGCCTACCTTTATTTTTGTCCCGTATCCCATACCTGAGAAAATATTTTAAGAAAGATGGAATAGCTATCCAGTGCCTTTCAGCTAAGAGCAGTAGGAGCTCTCAGTCTAGAAACACCTCCATCCTTGGATGTGTTTCCATTGTGCCCAAAGCAGAACTCAAGGTCTATGGAGAATGGCCAGCGTTGCCCCAAATGTGTTCTGGTTTCTGTGCTGTCAGGTGGTTTTCTAAAATGGGTTCTGCCCCATGAACAGCACCATCCAGTATAACCTAAAGTACGCAGTGGGTTTGTAAAGTTGGGAGAATGATACAAATTTCCCATGAAGCTGTCCTTTACACGTGTTTGCAGCTATTCCCAGTAAAATCCTATGCTTTTGAAATGTTGGCACAGGTAACATCCTCTACCATTATGAGATTTGCAGAGTTTATTATGAAGAAAGTGTTCCTTTGTTCTGGGGAAAGATTAATGGAGAACAAACAATTTTAGGAACATCTTAAAAGTGCTAAAACAGCAATTCATTATCTAGCAAAAGATATGAAGGTCTTAGACAGAAAATTGGAAAAACATGGGGATTATTAAACATTTTGGAAATATATGGGAAGTAATCTTTTATGATTTTTTAAATTTTGGAATGAAATTAACGATTTTTGAGACAAAGTTTTAAGATGTGTAGCGTGAAGTCTTTTATTCTAATCTTCAGCATTAGAGAAGGATCGTAATTGTGTGTACCTCACACACATAAAATTCGAAAAGGTTACTTGTTTTATTATAAAATCTAACTTTATATGCAAATAAGTTGATAATGTTACGGTTATAATAATAAAATACTGTATTTCTTCAGCTAATCTATGCTGTAGTAGTAAATTTTGAGGCATGCATAACCACACCTTGAATGAGAATTTTGAAAATGCAAGTTGCTGGTTTGATTTGTATCAGCAAACCACTTGTAGCAGTTTTGATCTCTACCAAGAAAAGGCCATTGGTAAAACCAATGGGTCTTGCCCAAGTCCATATCACCCCATCAAAGTGTAATACAACAAAGGTAATGACAATGAGTTTGGTGTAGTGGGTAGGATGTCAGTCAAGACTTTAAGAGATCTGGGTTTGACACTTAACCATAGAGATTCACTGTGAGGTGACGCTGGTCAAGCCACTTAAATATCACACATACCTCAGAAACCCTACTGTGGTCACTATAAGTCAGAATCAACTTGATAGGCCCAAAACACACACACACACAGCAGATGTACTACTAATGAGGTACTAATGAGGTAATAATTTACTAATTACCTAATGAGGTAATAATTTAAAAGTAAGTTGCAACTGGAGTAGATCTATTGAATCAGTGGAGATCTGGTGAATCAACAGCTATTGATTCAACAGGCCTACTCTAGATGTGACTTACTATTGGATTTCAGCCATTGTTGCCCAAGAGCTATTGTGAGAATTTTCACCACCAGCTACTGTGAGACTCCCTCCCGCCCTGCATTGTGAACTGTTAGAGAAGTTCAGAAGGACATTGAGGAGGTGACATCATTGTTCCTGCTAATAAAAAAAACCTGCTTTATCCCTGCAAACTGTGGCTCTGCTTCAGCAAAATGAGTAATACTTTCTTTTGGTTGCTGCAGCATTTGTTTACAAAGGTATTTTTCCACTTTTCATATGGTAGAGAGTGAGATACATGTACAGAGTAGAACAATGAGCAGCATTCTCTTTTATCCACCTTTTCCCCTAGTAAAAGCATTCATCTATGCTTTAATGTCTGCAGTCATATATGCCTGCTACTCCGAGAGTAAGCTCCATGAAACAAAATTGACTTTCCAGGTAAACATGCATAGAATTGGTATGAAAGTACCATAAATATATGGGCTCGCACTGTTTTAGGTACACACTGTCTGTTGCGTGTTAAAACAATACAATACGTTTAGGTTTGATAACAGAGTAATTATTGCCTTTAAAAGTTTCTGTGGCTATGGCTTTAAGATCTGCAGAACTTTTATACCTCCTTGTGAGTAGCAAAGGCAAGCAGTTTGATTTCTGTAGTTACTTTTGGTGACAATAAAAGCTGGTAGGAGTAAACAGAGCATGAGAAACTTGGGAGGAGCATCTATAAACTCTGATAACCTGTTACCCATTTATCCACTTTTCCCCAAAAGTCTCCTGTCCCCCATACATGTGTTAAAATGAAGCAGAGATGCATGTGTTTCTTGTATAAATTAATCCTGAAAAGAACCACATTTACTGATCCGTAAGGTCCGACTGAGTCCCATTTAGCTGCATCAAAATGTTCTATTTACTTCAGGGGTCATAGGCTACATGAATGGCCCCAAGTATGTTCCTGCAGCTTCTGAATCCCTCCTGAAACCCCCACTTTCATGGGGCAGAAAAGATGTCAGAAAGGGAGACTAAAACAAATTCTTTCGTCGCAAAGCCGTTTCTGATTATCTGCAGCCTTGTGAGTCAAGAGACTTTGCCATTAACACCCCTACTCAGGTCATAGATTCATAGAACAATGGAGTTGAAAGAGGTCTGTAAGGCCATCGAGTCCAATCCACTGCTCAAGGCAGGAATCCAAATCGAAGCAGATCTGACAGATGGCTGTCCAGTTTTCTCTTGAATGCCTCCAGCCTTGGAACGCTCACCACCTCCTGAGATCACTGGTTCCGTTGTTGTACTGCTCTAACAATTAAGAAGTTTTTCCTGATATTTAGCCTAAATCTGGCTTCCTGTAGCTTGAACCCAATATTACATGTCCTGCACGAGATGATCGAGAACGGGTCTTGCAAAGACTTCCTACTGTCTTCCTTCTGCTTTTCCAAGCATTGTTCTTCTCCCATGAGCTTTGTCTTCTCATGATATATCCAGAGTACAATCGCCCACATTTTAGAAGTTAAAAATAATAGATCTTATATGTGTTTCCTAGTTTGTTTGTTTTTTAGATGATGCTTAGGGACAGATGTACCACCTCATCCCAGGGTATGCTTTTGGTTTGCAGGTACCCATTGGTTGCACACTTCAGATTCTGTGTGTAATACTGATACTTTGTGTAACCTCTTCCATCACAGCAGATGCTGGGAAGGTGGGCTCTCCCGTCATCTGTCTTCACCTGGGTGGCAGGCAAGGCTTATGGAGCGATAGACCCATCCACACAGTGGAAGCATGGGCTCTAAATCCTTTTTGATCCCTTCAGCTTGGGTTTCATGAGTTGAAGATGTTGCATTGTGTGACTGTACAACTATGGTTTGAGGGAGGGAGCAAGGTTGCTTCCGTCCTTTAGATCTAATATCCTTATGTTTTAGACCTGTACCAACCCTCTTTCCAATGTGCCAACATCCTCTGTCTGGTTAAATGCAATATGTGTGCAGACTTGTGCAGGGTTCGGTACCTTTGCTTGGGTTTCATGAGTTGAAGATGTTGCATTGTGTGACTGTACAACTATGGTTTGAGGGAGGGAGCAAGGTTGCTTCCGTCCTTTAGATCTAATATCCTTATGTTTTAGACCTGTACCAACCCTCTTTCCAATGTGCCAACATCCTCTGTCTGGTTAAATGCAATATGTGTGCAGACTTGGGCAGGGTTTGCTACCTTTTGTTCCTTTTACACGCACGCACGCGCGCGCGCACACACACACACACACACACACACACACACACACACACACACACACACACATACACACTGCTTTCCAGTATGCCTTTTTCTTCAGCTCAGACTTCTGAGGGAGAGTGAAAGATGATGTATCAAAGGACAGGAGGCCGTAGCAGAGCCTCATCAAATTGCTTGGTGTAATCTTGCCCTAATTGTGGATTTAATCTCTCTTTCTCTGTCTGTCTCTCTCTCTCTCTTATGCAGTTGATGTGACTCCTTCTGAAACATCTGACCCTAAAGAGAAAGTTCCCGCCATGACGCCTGGGAAGGAGCACGAAGCATTATATGGTAAGTTTACTGTTTCATCAGTGTGTTCGCTAGGGATATACATTGTGTATGGGGATGATTACAAGGAAATTTTAAGATGCACTCTAGCGTATGGGATCATCATGTTGAGTGCTGTGGGTATACTTACTGCTGATTCCTTTCCCTTTCTTTGGAATACGTCTATATAGAGAGGATCCACTGAAATAAAATGGCACTTGTTAATCACCAGTGATCTCCTTTGGTCTCTTGCTTCCTCCAGGATTAATGTTGGGTTTTGCCGTCCAGAAAGACTGGGTAAGAAATGGAGGCCAGCTCTCTAGCTGACCCTCATTAGCTCAAGTCTTCTGAAAGGTGACTTTGTGGAACTGAGAGAGAGGCTCCAGAAATTCTTTATCTGTCACCAGGTAAAACAGCCCAGTAGTGCTCTGCAAGATAATTATTCTGGCCTCTAAGATCCCGTTATCACTGCTTCCCAGCCATTGTAATGAGCACGTCTCAGTTTGTCTTAGATTTCATTGGCTTATATAGCGGGCAACGTCTCCACATAGGCCACAAACTGTTCTGTGTCTGCAAGACTTTCTCAGAGGTTTGTTTTGTCCCTGATTTTCAATTGTTTGAACCTTCCTTCATATAAAAGTATATAACTTAATCTAATGTAAATATAGATTTTCCATATATCCAAAACTAGATGTTGTTGTAAGGAGCCTCAGTCAGCTATGATGGGGGTAGTTGCTATGTGCTGTCAAGTTGATCCCGACCCATGGGTGACCCTAGGAATGAGTGACCACCACAAAGTCTTGCCATTAATGGCCCTGCTCTTCTCTTGTAGACTCAAGGCCGTGGCTTTCTTTGAGTCAATCCATCCCATATTCAACCTTCTTCTTTTCCTGCTGCCTTCAACTTTTCCTAGCATTATTGGCGATGATTTAATTTATGTAAATGACTTCTACCAAAATTATTTTGGCCTTTATTCATCTATTGAGAAAATAATAATTCTCCTGAACTCCTCTCCACAAGGTGACGACTGTACCTTTAACAGTAGATTTAAACTAGAGGATGTTTTGGATTAATTTAAATAGACCAGTTTAATAGAATGGTGACTTATACTGGGCCATTTATTGATGTGATTTAATGTTTAATCCTGGCTAGTGGTGGCTCCCCAGCCCTTCTTGGAAATGCTTGGGACTGAATCTGCGATCTTTTGAATACAAATGGTGCGCTCTGCCATTTCAGCTACAGCCCTTTGCTAGTTGGGTTGAGTCTCTTTATTCTAACTGAGAAATGTTTTGCAGTATTGTTACTCAGGCCCTTGTCTGTATAAGCCTGTTAGTTTCTTATTGAGAAGAAACAGAGGATGATTCCTACTCTATCCATGCCATGTTTTCCTAATTATAAATGGTTTCTAGGTTGGAATGAATTTTGCTCCATGTGGACTAGAATCCTAGCTGCAGGCATGCGTGAAGCTCAGTCCTCTGTTATTGTGTTTTCACTCAGCCGCTTGGAACAATAGATCCCTTGGTTCCACTTCCAAAATTCCAGCTGGAATTTTCAGCATGTATACATTACTGAAACAGCGATGTCTACGTTGGCTTGGTCGTGTCATGAGAATGGCTGATGGTCGGATTCCAAAAGATCTCCTGTATGGAGAATTAGTGCAGGGAAAGCGGCCCAGAGGGAGACCACAGCTGCGTTACAAGGGCATCTGCAAGCGGAATCTGAAGGCCCTAGGAATGGACCTCAACAGATGGGAAACCCTAACATCTGAGCGTTCAGCCTGGAAGCAGGCGGTGCATCATGGCCTCTCCCAATTTGAAGAGACCCTTGCTCAGCTGGCTGAGGCAAAGAGGAAGTCACAAAAGCAGCAAAACTAGGGAGCTGGACAGGGGACAGATTGGATTTGTCTCCAGTGTGGAAGGGATTGTCACTCTGCAATCGGTCTCCTCAGCCACACTAGACGCTGTTCCAAGTCCTCCATACAGAGCACGTTACCATAGTCTCTCAAGACTGAGGGATGCCTAACCTAACTTCCAAAATGTCCTTAGCCTGTTCATTTTTACTTTTCATACAAGTACTGAAAATTCAGTTTGAACTTGAAATGCTTTCTCCCTTTCTTGGAAAGAAAAATCTATATTATTTTGCGTGCTGTCTCCATGCCGTTCATTTGCCTGAAACAACCTTCCTTTAAACAGGCCTGAAACTCAGCAAAGAGTCTCTCTGCTTTTATTGGCCTGACAAGGAGGCATGAAACGACTTCTCAGGGCAGAACTGTTATGCAAGTGTTGGAACGCCACAGCGTGCACTCTTTTTACAGTGAGGAATCCAGTTGTGTCAGGAGGGCTGAAGTACTGAAACAGTGCATTAGACATTGGCTGGCATTAGTCTGGTTTCTCTTACCTCCTCAGATATGTTCCTTGCAGGTTTTTTGGTCAGGATGGATTAGTCAGATATGGACGAAGGGAGTCACGGGCGGTGCATCCTGGTGTTAACCACTTGAGTCAAGCCATTCTTAGTTACATAGCCACTTGACTACTGCCATGCATTCTACATAGAGTTGCCCTTGAAGAGTGTCTGAGAAATTTATTTGGCATAGCTTGCAGCATGATGATGGGACATGGTGGCGCTGTGGGCTAAACTGCAGAAGCCTGTGCTGCAGGGTCAGAAGACCAAGTATTCGTAAGTTCGAATCCACGCGACGGAATGAGCACCCGTCGCCTGTCCCAGCTCCCGCCAACCTAGCGGTTCGAAAGCATGCAAATGCGAGTAGATAAATAGGGACCACCAAGGTGGGAAGGTAAACAGCGTTCCGTGTCTAAATTACACTGGCCATGTGACCACGGAAAGATTGTCTTCGGACAAAACGCTGGCTCTGTGGCTTGAAGAGCGGGATGAGCGCCGCCCCCTAGAGTCGGACACGACTGGACAAAAATTATCAAGGGGAACCTTTACCTGCAGCATGATGTGTTTGTATTATTAAAATTGTAGAGTCCCTGTATTGAAAAAACTGCACGGGTTGTTGTGCCCTGTTCAAATTTATTTTAAGTTTTTACAGTGCCAAATGGCTTTCTTGAAAATGCTAATAGCTGTGAAATCCTGTTTGAGAGGACTTTCTTTGATGTTGCTCCCAGATTGTGTCAGATTGGCTGCTGGTTCCCTTTATCATTGATTTAGAAAGGGGTGTGAACAGAAATGTCTTCAAACTGACCTTGCAATACTGTTTCATGTTTACTGGGTGCTGTGTTATTTTAATGGCTTTATTTATTAGGGAATTTTAATTGCATCTGGTTTGTTGGTTTGTTTACCTTTCCTTCTTGAGCCTGTAAGTTGACTTGAGTGCAATTGCTCAGTGGAAAAGCACATTGAGAATGCAGCAATTAAATAAATAAATAAATAATGTACTTCTGATCCTACTTGGGGACAGTGGAAGAGGGGGAAACTGCAGTGGCAGAAGCACTGCATCCTGAGCCTTACCAACTTCACATCAGCCTGGTTGGAAGGTGGAAGGAGGTGGATGAAGAGAAAGCAAGTCCTCCTGCTCTACAGCTGGCATTTCCCCCCTCTGTTTTGTGGTATGTTGGCAAGCAGAAGAAAGTTTTGCCCCTCCTTTCCTTGGAAGAGGAGAGATAACTATGGGCATTTCCTGGTTTTCCACCCCACCGAGAAGGTTAACAAGACTGGCCATGTATCATGTTCCCCAGGGGATGCTCCCTTTCCTCCGAGACTGAAGATGTAGGCTGTGGGTCCACAGATGATTGTATCACAACAAATCTGCTAGCCTTAAAGATGCTGCATGACTGTACTAGAGGAACTGTGGGACAACCTTGTGGAAATTGCCCCAAGTCTGTTATGCTGTATATGCACACGCTTGGAAATAAGTTTCAGTGAATTGAGATTGGACATGCATCTGAGTAGAATCATGTTGCATTGCAAAAGCAGAATTTCCCAGCATTGTGGAATCAATTGAACAGCCCTTACATTCCTTCTTTCTGGGTTTTAACGTTTCTTTCTAACAGAATGCTCTCAGGGAGCCTGTGAATGCAAAGTAAACTAGTTAAACAATGCCTTTCAATCTTTTCTGAGATATCAATTTGTGAGTTGCAAAGAATGCATTTCTAAAATACGATTTTTAGGAATCTGAGCTGGCTTTTCATACATAGGAAAAACTGCATAGTTCATGCATTTGTCTCTTTTTTCCCCTGCATTGTCAAAGCTGTGATAAATGGAGAATAGAAAGCAGTTTTAAATTTGCCAGATATAGTAGACTAACTCAGATGTACTCACTACCAAACATGTTGCAAGGATGGTTTTTTTAAATATATCTGACAATATTTCATTGATTGTAGCACAGAAGAGGATTGAGGGGTGCTCCATTCTGCATGCAGAACCCCATTGTTCTCCGATCTCTGCAAAACTCTAATTTCCACCATGATTTCACCACGCTGTTAGGTCAGGACAGTTGCGTTATTGATAATACTCAACAGTTGCCTTTAGTTTATGATCTAAACTGTTCTTGCTCACGTTACTTGTGTAGAGTCTACTGACTGGATGAATCATGAACATGAGGAGGCTTGACTCATGGCCCTTTGCATCTGGCATTGTTTTCATTGGTATCACACAGGGGTCCATTCTCTTATTATTCACACTAGAGGAGATAGGCTAATTATAAAATAACTGTGGAAAGAAGCCTTTTTCTTAACCTTGGCCAGTTTCCTCTGGCCAAGATTAAACAGTTTTCTCTGTTTCCATTTTACATACGTGGGCTTTTAAAGGTGGGGTGAAAAAAGCATTACCCTCAAGATTTTGTTGGACTGCAGCTCCCAGGGGCTCTTCCCCATAACCGGTGCTGACTAGCGTTGGAGGGAGTTGTAATCGAGCTGCATCTTGAAGTGGCCATGCTTTGCCCACCCTTCCCAGAGGCCTTCGCCATTAGCTGTGGTGACTGGAGTTTCTGGGAGTTGTAGTCCAAGAACACATGGGTTACACACATTTGGGAACCACTGCAGTAGATGACTGATAATAAACTATGGCTTGTTTGCTCCATTTCTGACCTTTATGTCCATTTTGTATATTTTCTGTTCAGCTCTTTTTTTTTCTCCATAGTTGAGGGATAAACCACATTGACTGGCGGAAACGTGCCAGAGGCAAGCCTCATTTCTGGGTTCAGATCTAATGGCAAATCAGCATTCATTAGCCAACAGCAAATAATAGTTTATCTGTGTATGGTTTGGATCTCTAACCATGTCAGTCTTTTCTCTTGTCTCGCGTCTGAGCGAGGGGTTGTGGCAACACATATGTAGGAGGAAAACCTCTAGTTCTTAATGTGTAAGACGGATGATAAAAAGATGAGGAGGAGGCAAAATGGACATGGAGCTAGAGTGTCTGCATTCTCCTCTCAATCAAATACAGTGGTGCCTCGCAAGGCGAGTGCCCCATTTAACGACGAAATCGCATTATGACGAAGGTTTTGCAGTCGCAGAAGTGATCACAAAACGATGTTTCCAATGGGGTTTTTTTCGCTTTGTGATGATCGGTTCCCTGCTTCAGAACCGATTCTCGCAAAACGATGATTTTCCTACAGCTGATCGGTGGTTTCAAAATGGCCACCAGGTTAAAAAAAAGGGCTCCCCGCTCTTTTCTGGGATGGATTCCTCGCTGCACGGGCAGCGAAAATGGCCGCGCTATGGAGGATCTTCACTGGATGGTGAGTTTCAAGCCCATAGGAATGCTTTAAACAGGTTTTAATGCGTTTCTATGGGCTTTTAAATTTCACATTCTGAGGTTTTTGTTCTACAGCGATTTCGCTGGAACGGATTAAGTCGTAATGCGAGGCACCATTGTAGTTCATAGTTATGTAAATCAGTGTTTCCCAAGGATGGGCAACCCATGTGTTCTTGGACTGCAGTTCCCAGAAGCCTTCAACACCAGCTGTGCAGGTGGGGATTTCCGGGAGTTGCAGTCCAAGAACACCTGGGTTACCTAAGTTTGGGAATCATTGATGTAGGTGATGAAGTAAGGGCAGAGTTATTTTAATGGCTTGCATTGCCAGTGGAAACAGACAGACAGACAGACAGACAAACAAACAAAAAGAAAATGTCTGTACCATTTTGGTGTTCCCTGTCATGCAGCAACGGAGAGATTGCTTATTCAATCCTCCTTTGGCCCTGGCCGGTTGTAGATAGGAGTCACTGCCATGAGGTCAAAACCTCCTGCACTGGCTGAAGTATCCCCTGCCCACTCCAGACTTGATGAAAGCCTTGCTTCCTCTGGCTTACCACACAGTGTGGCTCATTGTGAGCAGAGAAGGCTCAACTGGTTCCTCAGGCTTTCCATGGAATGCAGTACTTTATTTAGCAATCTACGTTTGCTGCGCAGTATACACACCTTCCGAAGGTGAACGTTCCAGCTTCTTGCTCTCTGCCAGAGCCATGAAGTACTAACATAGTTTCTGTCCAGGAGCCAACTTTTCAAAGCACAACTTCTGAGAAGTTGGTTCACAGCAGGCGGATCTTGTGTGCGACACATAGTGTTCCTTAAGAGTTTCCCGTCTTTGTTTCACTTAGCTGGACAAGGTGAGTTTGGCCCCTTCTGGGGGTGGCATTCTTCCTGCAGTGGTGGTGGTGGTGGTTTTCGTTACACAATGAGGCTGTTCTTTGAAATTCTCCAGGTAAACAGATCGGCTGAGTGGCATCTCCCTTTTATTTGGGAGGCGGGGAAGGTGGAGATGGAGGAGGAGGAGGAAACCAGTTCACTCTTGCAAGAGGAAACTGTGTGTTCATGAGTTTATTGTTCACTGTTTCTAACTATAAATTGATCATTTCCACACATCCAAGGAGGCAGGTGTAAGGGAAGCTCTGCTTTCTTGGTCTCTGGATGCAGAATGCCTCATGCAGAATACAAGCTAGAGTATAGGAGTGAGTATAACTGGAGTGCTGGGAGCTGCTATGGAGAGAGGAGGGTGGGGGAGAGCAAAGTTTTGGGTCTTGATCTAACATTATTTTTAGTCTCTTGTAATTTCTCCCTCTGATAGAGGGAAATGTTTTAGGTGAATTCCTCCTGTGGAACTATAGCTACATAGCCTTTTTTGATGTATTATTCACTAGGGTCAGAAACAGGAAGCGTGTGGCCCTTCAGATCCTGTTGGGCTGTAATTCTTGGTATTCCTTGTCTTTTGGTATGCTGGGTAAGACTGAGGGGAGTTGTAGTCCAGCAGTGTCTGGAGAGCCAGAGGTTGCCGACTACCGCAAACAAGAATGGGTGAAGGAAGTCAGCTCTCCTCCTGTGCCTGCCATGGATGTAGATGGATTCTAGGTCATGCCAGAATTTGTTTCATTTTCTAGGTTTGTCTAAAAAAACTGCTATCTTGCAAGATTTTAAGATCAGATTTTCATCTAAGACAGTGGTTCCCAACCTTGGGTAAACTAGGTTGTTCTTGGACTGCAATTCCTAGAAGCCTTCACCATCAGCTGTACTGGCCAGGGGTTCTGGGAGCTGTAGTCCAAGAATTGCCTGGGTTGCTCAAGGTTGGGAACGACTGATCTAAGAGCGACTCAGAGTCAGTTTCCTTTCTCTCTAGCAGGCTCCTCTTAGGTTGGTCTGGGTTGCTCAAGGTTGGGAACCACTGATCTAAGAGCGACTCGGCTGGTTTATCTCAAAGAGTCAGTTTCCTTTCTCTAGCAGGCTCCTCTTAGGTTGGCTTTCAGAAGCCCACTAGAAGAGTATATAGGCTGTACTGTGATGATTCCTTAAGGAGTGCTTGAATACTTTCTAAAAAGTTGTGTGTTGTGGATATGCCCAGTCCAAATCTCAGGGCGCATCTACAACACACAACACTGCTCGCTCTCTCTCTCTCTCTCTCATTGGCCTCAGTGCCATTTCTGGGATGAAATCTTGCCAGTTCCCAGCTGCATCGAAACAACAAGTGGGGTCCTCTTGCTAGAAAGGCATTATTTTGGTGTGTTATTTTGCAGATGCCTAGGTGACACCATCGGTTTACCTTTCCCCCATCACCACTGTGAGGAATTGTTGAGAGTGTAGGAAGGCACTTTGCTTCACCCCTTCATGCTCTCCTCTTTGGGACTTGGTTTGCTCTTGGCTTCAGTGTTGTCTGGCTCTTAACATGGAAAAGAAGACTTCACAATTTGATTTGGGAGTGAATCCTTTTTTAAAATGTCAAATTTTATGTCAGAATTTCATCTGACGAACCTCAGTTATGGATATGAACTACTCTAACATGTTTGATGCTACCTGGATGGGATCAGGTGGTAAGGGTCCTCATGTGAATCAAAGTTGATTTTGCTCAGGTTGGTCCCAGGCCCTTTATAATCATCATCATCTGCAGAGCTGGAAAGGGACCCTCTGGATCATGGAGTCTAGCCCCTGTCAAGGAGGCCCAGTGGGGAATCGAACTCCCAACCTTTGGCTCCACAGCCAGAGACCTAAGTTACTGAGCTATCCTGCAGTTCATTTGCCTGAATGGGGGGGACGTCATAACACATGTAGATACTCAAAGGTAAAGATAGTTACAACCATTATTTCTGCTGTTTTATTACTGAAAGATAGATAAAACAGTGACAGACAAGTAATTGTCTTTCCCCCAGATCTTTAACTTAATTGAGAGTATAATTCTAGGCATATGCATTCAAAAGTAAATCCTGTTGTGCAGTGTAGCTTACTCCTAGGAAATAGGAACAGTTTAAATAGGCAGTCATAACTTTTTGAAAGAGTCTTGTCTTACGATGTATCACATCTATGATGTTTGTACTGTATGTGTTCTGCCTTGTGCCCATAGTAATTCTGTAGGGAATGCCACTTTTTCTGTGCCTCTGTGTTCGAAACACTGGCGCTGTGTGGGGGGAATCGAGTCAGATCAGAACTTTCCTGGGTTTTGGGGCCCCAGCCATTTTCCCTCTAATTTTCCACGAGTGCTGGGTGGCAACACTGGCTGCGGGTGCACAGCGCTGATGCATCGCTGCACGGCTGCCGCTCACCCGCACAGCTTGGAGGGAATGTTGGTCCTCAGTCTTGGCATTGGTGAGGGCTGTGATATAGAGGCAAATGTTTGCTTTGGGATTTGTGGCGAGGGGAGCCAACAGGATGCCCCATGCATTGCTTCTCTCTTTCTACGGGCCCTTTATTGAAACGTTTGTCGTTGTGTATTTGCAGAAGATTCCTCTGGGGATGGTGTCAGCACCATTTATAGTGGCACGGCACCACCGCAACGGTCAGACTCCACCGATGAATTCACTACCTACTTTGATCAGAAAGTGCCTATACCTGAAGATGAGAAGGTCAGTGGGGGTTGGGCTTGGCACCACTTCTGATTTGGAGCGGGGTGAAATCTGTAAGTTTCCCAGCTCCTACACAACCTCATGCCCAAAACTGCCAGTATGTAGAGAGCAAGTAACTCTTTTACAGTGAAGGCTGCCCAGTCAGTCATGCCCCTCCATGACTGTGAATGCTTTGACTTCCTGGGGAAATGTTGTTTCTCCTGCAATAAACTATGATTAGAACATTCTTTCACTGATGAGAAGGACACCCGGCAGAACCACACCAAAGGCAGCCTCCTTCCACGAGACTGTCAGCTGTATCTCTGTGTGGCCCGATGGCCCTGGGGCTTGCTGCTTTCTGGTTCAGGTTAGTGATGTATAAAAACACAAGGATGGATGCTTCTGAGATGGGGCAGCTCCTGTTCTTTAAATCCTTTAAAATAACCAGAGAGTTTGAGTCTTTGCAGATGACTTTAACGTCGGTTTCCCCTGTCTAAGCACACTGGCCCTACTGCTCGAGGTGGAGGGACCTAGATAGAGGGGAGGGTGTTTTGAAAAGTAAACCGTAAGAACGAAGGCTGTCTTTGGTGTTTGGCTTTAAAGGAACATGCTTTGGGTACCTGGGTTTTAGAAGCATGACGCCAATGGCTCCCAAATGCGGATCTCCAGAAGTTGTTGGGCTTATGACCCAGGCACAATGGCCAGTGGTCAGGGATTATGGGACTTGTAGTTCAGCAGCATTTAGGGCCCCAGTATTGGTGATCACTGCATTCGCCTCAGACTCATGTGAAAAAAGTCTCCCAGAAGATTTTTATTTATTTATTTATTTATTTTTGGAACCAGGAAATTGCACAGGGGCCTTTCCTCCCCCCGCCCCTCTTCCTCCAAAATGCAAAACATACATCTTGACTCATCTCACTATTCGAAGGCCTTTCCAGTAAGAAATTGCTGTCTGTTCTTTCCTGTTACTTTTGCGGGTGTGGTGGGGAGCAGTGGCCAGCAAATTTCCTTGCTACCTTAGAGTGATGGTTGAATGAACCAAACAACAATGCTCTTTAGAATCAGCAACCAATTTTCTTCAATTTTTGAAATGACCGGATGAATAGGCGCTCATTTTAAGCAAAAGCAGTGCAGGCAAAGCTAAGTGCTCAGGAACGAGCCCTTTCAGCCTGTGACCCCAAAGCCCTCCTATAATGAGGGGCTGCGCCTTGGAATTCAGCACAGGAGTCTGTGATTATCCAAGGCTGGTCATTTCTTTGTGAGCAGAAGGTTCTCTCTGTCTTCGCTTTTGGCTTTAAATTAATAGGGCCACAAAATAAGAACCTTTGCAAGAACCTTCCACCTCCACCAGGTAAAATGCATTCCTTTCCTTTTCCCTTTTTATTCCAGAGAATGCACATTTAGCACATAATTAGGTATCGTTTCTGGGAAGCACAAAATTCTTCCACTGAGTCATTGGGCCCCATGGTTTCTCCACGTCAACTGCAAGTGGTGCCTAGATTATTCCCAATTGACCCCTGCAGTCTGGCATTAGTACAGTATGTCATTCAAGGCTATTTGCCAGTCCATATCATTACATACACACGCACGCACACACACACACATCCTTGACACCACTAACATTTTAATCTGGCATTAGTACAGTATGTCATTCAAGGTTATTTGCCAGTCCATATCATTACACACATGTGCACACACATACATCCTTGACACCACTAACATTTTATGGAACCTCAGTTTTCCTGGATGCAGTTGGAAAGACCTGGATTTCTGCTATCCAGTAGAACAGGGCTCTGCCACATATACTCTATAGTTGGCATGCTGCAGCGTTTTTGTGTTGCTGTTCTCCTGTTCCCACTCCTGGAAATTAAAACACTGATAAAGGAAAACAACAATAACAATAGATCAGTTTTCTGCGTTGTTTGATATTTCACGTTTGTTGTCCTACTTCTTCTTTTATCTGTGAACAACATACATTTAATATCTTTTTTTTCAATCTCTTCATCCCTATTTTTATAGCACCCATGGTTCAGTTTTCGGAAACTCTGGGCCTTCACTGGGCCAGGTTTTCTCATGAGTATCGCCTACTTGGATCCAGGCAACATAGAATCGGATCTGCAATCTGGTTCTGTTGCAGGGTTTAAGGTAAGTAACTCAGTGGTTTCTGTACGTATTACATTTCTGATCCTGAGCATCCAGTTCCCGCCGTAGAATTGCAGAGCTAGAAGATGATGTAATCAAGTGTACTCCCAAATCAACACTCTCTGGATGTGTTGGAGTATAAGTATTAAATTATCTCCAGTGTCCAGAAGTGCCCATTCTAGCTGGGGCGGGGTGGTGGTGGATTTGTTGTTGAATGCCTCTGAAGGGCTGCAGGTTAGGATATCCTGCTTTAATTCTAGTTCTTGCATCAAAGCAGAGTTAAAATTTTAGCCTGCTGTTGTCTTGACAGATGCTTGCCTTAATCTGTGTTTGTAAACACCTGATGCAGTCAGATTTATGGGAATTGTCCATGTTTTAAAGTAAGAGGAGGTGTTCTGGCAGAACTGAGTTGACATGTATAACTTCTGAGTCACATTGAAACTAAGCCACACTGAATTACACTGGAGATTAATTGCCGTGAGATGGGATGGCTCTGGCAGGGTGTTTTTCCCAACTCACTGATACGTGGGTGTCAAGCATCTACTCCATACAGAGTGAGAGGAAACAGTCTCACTCCGTCCTTCACATCTGGGAGTTGGTTTGGTCCTGCCATTGTTTCCTGGGCTTATTTCTCAATCAGAACCAAATCCTGAAGTTCCGACAGCAGCATACGGCTGGGTGGCAAGGCAGTAAATGCTGAGCAGCTCCTGCAGAATAATAATCAAAAACAAAAAATATCCCTTTATTGGTTTTATCAGTGATCAACAATTTGTTAATCACTAAAGTTTCACAAACAGGTGAGCTTTTAAATTCTGCAAGACTCTTGATCAAGCTGGGCATTACAAGGCTAGTAGTGAAGATAAGAAGTCCAAAAATCTGGCTGCATGCTCACGCTGAAGGGTGTGTAGTTAAACCAGCTTTAGCCAAGGTTGTGACTGGAAACTTGAAGTATCAATTTCTATTGTAGTGACCGACAGGTTTCACCTCAGGGCATCTAATCAATTGTCTTTCTCCACCTCTGTAGACAACAGAATGCTGATTGGGGAATTCTTCGTTGCCTCTTATTTGTTGCCATGCTTGGGGGGGGGGTTAATACTAAACCTTAACATATTCATTTTTAAATATTGAAAGAGGCAGATCATTGCACAGCTTAGATAGAAAAAACACAGTGTGCAGCCTTTTACTGCTGATTTCCATGTACATAAAAAATTGCATTAACCTTAGCAGAGATACAATGGCACTTTTCAAGCACTTGTAAAACAGTCATACAGAGGAGGGATCAGCCCAGAGTGCCAGATACATAATAATGGCTACAGAAAGCTCAATTCGATTTAGGCTGAATGTTAGGTCAAACTTCTTAACTGTTAGAGCAGTACAACAATGGAACCAATTACCCTGGGAGCCAATTACCCTGGGAGCGTTCCAAGGCTGGAGGCCTTCAAGAGAAAATTGGACTACCTTCTGTTAGATCTACTTTGATTTGCATTCCTGCATTGAGCAGAGGGTTAGACTCAGTGGCCTTATAGCCCTCTTCCAACTCCATTGTTCTATGAATCTATGATTTTGTGACTTACACAGTTACCTTTAGCTGAGAATAAATCAGCAATAAAATTCTGGCTTATACCTGTAGCTGGTTCACATTATTTGCCCCAATTCAAAAAAAAAGTAAGCTTGACTGATTACACAATATTTTTTGAAGGTAGTGCACGCAGGTTAGCTTGCTCATTAAGGAGCTACCAGAGTAAAATTGGGTGTTACATAACATAGCCTTGTTGCTGGACTGTGACTCCCGGCATTGTCTATGTTGCCTATCACTGGTGGGAGTTGCTACCTTAACATCTGGAGCCAAACCTAGTCCAGCAGCTGTGCTTCAGGAGACTTGGGTGGGGAGGTTAGCTGTTTTTAGTGGGCTGGTGTTGGAAGGGACTAAAGACAACTAAAAACGCTGATGTATATAAGCAGGCCTTCCCAACAGAAAACTCCTGACGATCTTTTTTTTCTCTATATCTCTTTTCGATCTCTATCTTTGTTCAGGTGCAACGTTTTTTAAAATTATATTGTTGCTTTTTATTGTAAGCCGCCTAGAGTGGTCTAATATGACCAGATAGGCGGGATAGAAATGAAATGAAATGAAATGAAATAAATAAATAAATAAATAAAGGGAGCCTGCATCGATGAAGTTTTTAAACTAGCACCTTGAATTCTTAGGTTGAGGACATATCGAGGAAACATTGGTATTTATCTAATAAGCAGTATTATGCTTGAGCAGTGAATTCTTGAAAAAGAGAACCACATGTGCTGAAATGCTGTGTTCTCCACATTGGCTCTGTGAGGGAGGCTTTAGCCTGGGGTCGAAATGGCTTCTTGCAGAAAGCAGGCATTCTTCAGTAACCAAAATCTTCAATCTTGCTGGATGACTTCCCGATTTCTCATAGCCTGCCTGCTTTTCCCCTTCTGTGCTCTTTCAGCTGCTCTGGGTTCTCCTGCTGTCCACAGTCATTGGGCTTCTCCTGCAGCGCCTCGCGGCAAGGTTAGGGGTGGTGACTGGACTTCACCTGGCAGAAGTATGCAACCGGCAGTACCCCAAGGTGAGTGAGTAAGCTGTCCAGCTGGGAACCATCTTGTGTGAGAAAGCTTCGGAGCCCGAGGATCCCACCTTGTTGTAGAATCAGGTCTCCTAATGTGTTTAAAATCCCAGGCAGGATTACGTATTAGAATATAGGATGGTCTTCGATTTGGGGGCGGCGGGGGGGGGCTGGCAGAAGTATGCAACCGGCAGTACCCCAAGGTGAGTGAGTAAGCTGTCCAGCTGGGAACCATCTTGTGTGAGAAAGCTTCGGAGCCCGAGGATCCCACCTTGTTGTAGAATCAGGTCTCCTAATGTGTTTAAAATCCCAGGCAGGATTACGTATTAGAATATAGGATGGTCTTCGATTTGGGGGCGGCGGGGGGGGGTATACGCCGGATTTGGGGGCGGCGGGGGGGGGTATACGTAGAGCCGAAACAGGCCAGCAGGGTTGGAGCCTTGAAATGAGATCAGTGCAAGGTGACTCATCAAAGGACTAGGTGGTTCTCGAAGTCCTAAGTCCAGCTCGAGCCCCGGGTCAGAGAGGCACTTCTGCACAGGGGAGCTGATACCGTGAGGGAGGCGGCAGTAGACCCCGAAAGGCAAGAACGAGAGAAAGAGGAGCAAGTTAAAAGAGCAGAGTCTGGTTGAGTTAACGTGACCTAGAGCCCAAGTTGGGGATGCTGATTGTGAAATCTGTGATTCCCAGATCCCCTTCGCTGTTGCAGTACTTCCCTAGTCAAATAACACAACCACTAAAGCCTCTGCGGTTGATGTATCTCAATGGGTTTCTGCTGTTCTGGTTGTTTTTTTTTTAAGTCATTGGGACGGCCGTGCTGATTATGGAGGTTCACCTGCGCAGGTTTTAATTTTTTGAGCCAGGACCTGCTTGTTTTTTAAAAAGCAAATAAACGTTCTCTGAACCACTTGCAAAGAACACCTCTCTCCACAAAGTATTTCCAGGCACCTAGCAAGCAAGGGGTTGTGTATCTCCAAGAAAGCTTACAGAGAACTCCTTTTTTCTCTTTTGTCATTGTTCTCATAGCGCCTGTGTGGTTTTAACTGTTCCCTCCCTAGTTGTTCAAATTACTGTTTTTTGTAGAAGTCAGCTAAAGCCTGGATTTTCATTAGCAACGTGTAACATTTTGTTTATGATGAATTTTTTTTCTGGGCTTGTTCTGGCAGGACACAATTCCCTTGGCATGTAATACAGTGGTGCCCTTCATGACGATGATAATCCGTCCCATAGAAATCGCTATTTAGTGAAATAATCATCATGCAAAAACCCGTTCCCCATTGGAATGCATTGAAACCCGTTTAATGCATCCCAATGGGGAAAATACCTCGTCGTTTTGCGAAGATCGCCCATAGCACAGCCATTTTGCAAAGTGCCAATCAGCTGTAAAAATGGGTGTCCTGCAAAGCATGGTCCGGAAAACACAGGGCAGCCATTTTGCGAAGCCGCCGATCAGCTGTAGAAATCGTCGTTTTGCGAACAAACAGTTCGCGAAGCACAGACCAAATCGTCATCAAGCGAAAATCGCCCATTGGAATGACTGTTTTGCAAATCGCTATAGCGATCTCAAAAAGTCATCGTTATGCAGATTCGTCGTTTAGCGGGGTCGTCTAGCGAGGTACCACTGTATTCCACTACAAAATTTTCCTTTCTTTCAGCAGTGTTAATTAATCCCTTTTAGTCTTTCACAGCATTATATGTGAGGGGGCGTACATCTCTCTCTCTGTGTTGTGTGTGAGGTATGTCAGTGTGTGTGTGAGAGAAAATGCCTTATTGCTTAGAATATGTGCAGGTCTTGACATATCTACTTGCTTTCCTCTGGAGTTATGTTAAAGCACATTCAGTAAAGAGAAAAGTGGGTTCTTGTTGTCTCCCAGGTCAAGTGAGGTCCCTGCAAATATCTATTTTTCCTGAATAGATGAGAGGAGGAAGTACCTGCAAAGACTTGATTAGAATAATATGTAGTATAGGAACGACTCTTTCCTGCACCAGAAAGAGGTCACATCAGAAACCTTGGATCCTGCATGGAAAGAGCTGGTTTTTGGGAGGGGTGATCCAGCGAGCACAAGGTGTTAACTCCTTCTGTGTGGCCCGGGGGAATGCCAGTGTTTTCTTCTTTGTGGTGGCATAGAAAGATGGGAAGGATCTTATACCATTTAAGAAGTTAAGATGTTAGAGAAAAGATCTCCCCCCTTTTTTTGTTAATATTCTGGGTGTTCTTGGTTTCCCGCCAGCAGAGAGTAGCTGCCACATCTTTTGACTTAAAAGCATGTGTGGATTTTACTCCCGCTCCATCCTACCCTTTGAAGTGAAAGTTGGCTTCACAGTCACAGATTTCATTGGTGCCTCTCGGTTTGTGACTTTACCAGATACTAGGAAGTAAAAGGCATGTAGGCGCTTGTTGGTCAGAAGGTGCTGAATCTTCCTTTCAGCCAGAATGTTTTGATTTCTAATTATGGGCTTTTTATTGTGTGGCGCCTATGGTGATATAACATAGGGGCCAAGGAAGAAACTTGAAAAAAAGGCTTGTATAACCATTGCTTGATTACAGAGTTGATTAGCTGGAATTGCTTTGAATCTTTCCACCATCCCCTGCCTAGATCCTCAGCCTGGAACAAGGGGGTCGGCTCTCTCTCTCTCTCTCTCTCTCTCTCTCTCTCTCTCTCTCTTGTTTTCCCCACTGTGTTCCCCCCCCCAATGTTCTGGGAGGGGCTACTGCCCATGATGGACAAGGCTATTTTCTGCCCCCTCCCTTTTTCCTCTTGGCCACCCCCTTTCTGTCACCCTGCAAGTGGGGTTTTTAAAGAGATTCTTGTGCCTTATTGCTTTGAATGTGTTTTTAGTGTTATTTTTGTTTACCGTCTTTTAGTGTGGTATTACTTTGATCCTTTTTAGCATTTGTCTACTTACTGTTTTTAGCTTTAAATATAGTCTTTTAATGATAGAATAGCTTTAAATATAGTCTTTTAATGATATAACCCCACTTGGGTCCTTTTTAAGGAGAAAGGCTGGGCAAAAAATATTTTAAATAAAAATAAAATAAATGACCCCGTCCCCCCCCCCTCCATGCATCAAGCTACACACTCCTGTGAAGGATCTGAACAGAGATCATCTGCAAAGTATTCTGTTGCCCGTGGGCTGAGTGCCACCCCCACCTCCCCTTCCAGACATCAATTTTTGTGGGGAAAGGCAAGAGAATCCCATTTTCAAAGCCTTGTTCTTTCCTAGGTCCCTCGGATTATCTTGTGGCTGATGGTGGAGCTGGCCATCATTGGGTCAGATATGCAAGAAGTCATCGGCTCAGCAATTGCCATTAACCTCTTGTCTGCTGGGGTGTAAGTTGGTCCCAATCCCTTCTACCTTTTCCCATATATTTTAATACATATATTGTATTTTAAATGCTGTAAGCCGCCCAGAGACCTTTGGGTAGTGTGGGTGGCATATAAATTAAATAAATAAATAAATAAATAGCATTGCACAAACCTCTTGATAATGTGATTTGCCCCCTTTTCTGCACCATTTCCTTTTCTATGACATCTGGCTTTTTTGAATGAGGCAGCAAGAACAGCACATTGTCTTTCAAGAACTGAGGCGACAGCATGGGACCTGTAAGTCACATGCCCTCAGAGTCATTGTCTCAATTCCCCATTCTCCCTCACACACTCTCCAAAAACTGTTTTTTTTTTCTTTAAGGAAGATACTCCTTGTGAGTCAGAAGGCAGATCAGAGAATAAGGATCCAGGCTGTCCCAAAGGGGGTTAACACCTCAGTGAAAACACAGTTATGCACCTTAGGTCTACTTCTGGATCCCTGAGCCTGGATGCCCAGATTTCAGCAGTGGCCAGGAGTGCGTTTACACAGTTTAAATTAATGCACCAGCTGCACCTATTGCTGGAGAGATCTGGTTTAGCTGTGGCAATACATGCCTTAGTTACATCCTGACTGGATTACTGTAACGCACTCTCTGTGGGGCTGCCTTTGGAAAAGGTTCAGAAACCTCAAAGGCCGCAAAATGTTGCAGCCAGATTGCTGACTGGGGCTGGTTACAGGGAACGCATAACCCCCTCTTGCAAAAGCTCTACTGGATGCCGGTCTGTTTACAGGCACAGTTCAAAATACTGGTTCTTCTTTGTGGCCTCTGTGAATTCACACAATTGGGTTGTTCTGTGCCTGTGCAGGAACTCTCGGAAGTTTCTAGAGCTTAGAGACATGTAATAGTGGGATGTTCCCCCGTGGAGCGCATGCCCCGCCCGCCAGAAGTCTCCTCCTCCAGAGGTCGATGTCGAGTGACCTCCTCCATCTTCCGTCTATCCCCAATCTCCTTACGTGGGACAATGGGCTCATTTACCATCCCGATCTCGAATCTCTGAAACTGACAGCATGGAGGATTCTCCCACAATAAGGGATATACTTGACAGGACTCAAAAACCATCAACAAAGATCCTTTACCAACATAAATGGAGAGCATTCCTCTCCTTTGTCAAATCAAAAATCTTACCTGCAGTACCAGTTTCACTGAAGACTCTACTTACCTTTATACTCCATCTTTTTCATCTTGAATTGGCCCATTCTACTTTGAAAGTTTATATTGCTGCAGTGGTCACGCACCAACCATCTCATTCGGAAGCAGCTAAACTTTTCTCCCATCCAACTTTGAAAAAAAAAATTCCTTAAGGGACTTAGCAATATCCATCCTCCACGTCAACCTCCTCTTCCCCAATGGTCATTACAGCTTGTCCTTAATTCATTAACCCGACCTCCCTTTGAACCAATGGCTACTACTAGCCTCAACCTGCTTTCCTTGAAAACATCATTCTTAGTAGCCATAACGTCGGCTAAACGTGCTAGCAAACTGACAGCTCTTAGACCAGCTCCACCTTTTCTGCCGTTCCATCCGGACAAGGTCACTCTAGATGTTTCATTCTTACCTAAGGTTGTATCTGATTTTCATCTTAATCAACCTATAATACTGCCTACCCTATTTTCATCTCCCTCTACACCTTTTGAGTGCACGCAACACATGCTTGATGTTAGACATTCCTTGGCCTTTTACATTGAGAGAACCAAATTGTTTAGGAAATCATCAAGGCTCTTCCTATGTTTTAATGGCCCTAATAAAGGTTCACCAGCTTCGCCCCAAATGTTGGCTAGGTGGATTGTTCAAACAATTTCACTGGCAGGCAAACCACCACCTGAACCTTTGAAGGCTCACTTGACTAGAGCACTGTCTACCTCCACTGCCTTCCAACGAGGAATAGAAATCCCTCACAACTGTTGTGCAGCTACATGGTCAAATCCATTAACGTTTGTCACACATTACCGTTTGGATGTCTGGGCAAAGAAAGATGCTGCTTTCGGCAGAATTGTCTTGACTTCCTTTCTACTGTGATGTCCCACCACCCCGTAAGTGAGCTTGCTAGTCACCCAATTGTGAGAGGCCATGAAGAAGAAAGAGAGGTTACTTACTTGTAACCATGGTTCTTCTAATGGTCCTCTGTGAATTCACACATCCCACCCTGCCTCCCGTCTGTCCGTCACGTTGTCCTCTTATATAGCTCTTTGACAGCGGGGGACGCTTTTGGCAACTGAGGGGACTTCTGGCGGGCGGAACATGCGCTCCACAGGGGAATGTCCCACTAATCACATGTATTTAAGCTCTAGAAACTTCCAAGAGGTCCTGCACAGGTGCAGAACTACCCAATTGTGTGAATTCACAGAGGACCACTAGAAAAACTATGGTTACAGGTAAGTAACCTCTCTTTTTGACTTATCAGACCATAGATGGCTTGGGCCCAGGTTATCTCAAAGACTGCCAATTAGTGCAAATTGGGGTGGGCAGAGTGTTAATGGATTGAAAGTCCCATCATCTCCGGCAAACCATTCCAGTGGAGGAAAGATTCTGGGAGTTGCAGTGTGTTCCTCTTCTGTGGTATAGAAAATACTGAGCTAGGTGAACTACTGATTTTATCTCACTATAAAGCATCTTCCTACGCCCTTGTGGCTTTGCATAACCCACTAAATATGTTTCGGTTCTTTTCTGGACAATTCTTAACAACAAATTTAGATCTCGTTACGGGTTGTCGAGCATATTTTTGTTATCTATAAACCAATGGCTGCCATGCAAGGGCAGACATGAATGGTTGATGTGGAAAAACATCATTGATGTAAGCCTGGTAATTTTTCTCTTTTCTGTTCCTGAAAGATCAGGCTGTAGATTTCAGATTAAAAGCAGAAATAGCCAGTTGCAGCAGGGAAGCTGCCATTAAAGGTCCATTTTCTTTTACTTGTGTGCCTGGAAATATGTGTAATGTTTCGCTCCATAAACTGGTAACAAGCTGCCCAGCTGGTTCAGGTGGCTCTCTCCTCTCTGAGTTGTTTCTGTCAAATTAGGCTCCCAGCCATCTTCCCTCTAAAAAAGGAAGTAACACTGTCCGGTTCTCCAAGCACATCCTTGAGGTAAATGTGCCCTGCATTCCTAAAGCCATCTAAATGTTATGGAGGATTGACCAAGTCTAGCTGAAACCTTACATGCCTGTTTTGTCTTCCTGCAGAATTCCTTTGTGGGGTGGAGTTCTCATAACCATTGCCGATACTTTCGTGTTTCTGTTCCTGGACAAATATGGTAAGCTGCTTTCTCATTAAGCAAATCACCTGAAGTTACTGTTTTCTAGTAAGGGAATAAGTTCATGGTTGTTCTGGGTTTTTCGGGCTCTTTGGCCATGTTCTGAAGGTTGTTCTTCCTAACATTTCGCCAGTCTCTGTGTGTGTTCTGGTGTAGTATGTGGGATAGTTGAGTATTTGTAATTGTGGGATCAGCTTTTGTCCTTTTCAGGAAATTGGGTGATTATGGTGATCAGGGTGGTTTTTTGTTACTGTATGTATGTATTGATGTGATAAGGGGGGAGATGATCTGTCACTGTGATTGATGGGTGTTGTTAGCTACTCTTTTGTGTGGAGTGATTGGGTAGAGTTCGTTGACCTTTTTTTGCAGGCTGTATTTTTGAGTGCTGGGAGCCAGGCTTTGTTGAGTTTTAGACTTTCTTTTTTTTTTCTTTTTTTCCTTTCCTTTTCTTTTCTTTTTTGTTGGAGCTATGTTGATGTTTGTAGATTTCAGTGGCTTCCCTGTGTAGTGTAATGATTGCTGGTGTTGTCCAGTACTTCTGTGTTTTGAAATAGGATTTCATGTCCAGCTTGTTTCAGGAGAAGTTCAGCTACTGCCGATTTTTCCAGTTGTTTTAGTCTGCAGTGTCTTTCATGTTCTGTGATTCTGGTGTGGATGCTGCATTTTGTGGTGCCAATAGGTATCCGGTATACTCCTGCAGTGATGAGGGGGTCCCTTTTGTCCTTTGCTGACCATAACATTAGTTGTATTTTTGTGGAGTTTCACTCTGCTGTACCATCAGCCAACAAGGCCTCACTGGCATGTGTTTAAAAATGAAACACCAGCATGGCTGCTTTCTTCCTCCTTGTTGCCCAATTTATGTACCTTTGCGAATAGGCATGTTTTAAAAAGAAAAAATTATTTTAAGGCTATACGTTTCACCTCTCTAGTGCTGGAATCCTCGTTCCAGGGTAAGGGTGACCCCAGTGAGCCACAGTTCTCCTTTATTTGCAGGGGTGAGCAGTATAGCCATTGCTAAGGAATTGTGTGAATAGCGGTTTACCAACAGTTGAGGCCCAAATATTCATGACTACAAAGATGGTCCCCTCCCCATCTGAGTGGAACAGGATGTAGTGATGCAGATGCTGGGTCAGGAGTGAATTTTCAGATGTTTCTCTTCCCATGTGAGTGTGTAATGGTGCTAGTGTTTTCAGAAGCACAGTACAGTTTGACGTTTAAGTCTTTCTTTGGATTATGTGATGAACTGAGAAAACAACTTGGCTCTTACACAGATGTAACTTGTTGTCTTTTGGAGCTCCCTGAGCAGCTCATGATGTGTGTGTGTCTTTTTCTTTTTCTTTTTTTCAGGCTTGAGGAAACTGGAAGCATTTTTTGGCTTCTTGATCACTATTATGGCCATCACGTTTGGATATGAGGTAAGGCTGCTTTTGAAAATTTTAGAGTTAGAAATTGAAATAAGAATGGCTGTCTATGCTGTGTAAGGACAGATAGACAGGTAGAGTGTGTGTGACTACATCACCCATCAGCCCCAGCCAACTTACCAATGGTGAAGAATGCTGGGAATTGCAGCCTAACATCTATTAGACTAGAGTACCCCAGCGGTAGACTTCTCTGTTTTGACTGTAACAACCCCCCGCACTGGTAGGGCACGTTTTCTGGTTTAGATCTATAATATAACCCTTGAAATGCAGAGCTAGAAAAGACCCTATAGATTATGGAGTCCAGCCCTGGCCAGGGAAGGCACAAGTGGGGAATCCAAATCCCGACCTCTGCCCCTGCAGCCGGAGACCTGAAGCCATGAGCAACACACTCTCAAAATTATGCCGTGCTGGCTGTTTGTATGAGCCTCGCCTTCAGACTAGGCTGGTGGTGGTGGGGGAGAATGTCACTCCTAGAAAATGAAAGGTCATCTTAGCAGAGCGTGGACACACCAAACACGAAATGAGGAGGAGGCCTCCAGCGTGCCGAGATTGGGCTCTACTCGGGAGCGGTGGTGGTAGCGTTCGTGATGTTCCCCTGTATACATTCCCCACAGTATGTTACGGTGCGTCCAGACCAAGGCCAGCTCTTGAAAGGGATGTTCGTGCCGTACTGTGAGGGTTGTGGGCCGCCTCAGTTGGAGCAAGCGGTTGGGATCGTGGGTGCCGTCATCATGCCACACAACATGTACTTGCATTCTGCTTTGGTCAAGGTAAGTGTGTGGGAAGGGGGGTTCATTCCCCTGGGCAGGGATGGGGTGGGGAGAGCCTTGTTTTCACAGAGTACTTTTTCTACTCGCTGACAAAATGGCCGTGGTTGAAAGCCTACATGTGCATGCTTTGCATTGAAAGAGGCTGCACTTTCTGCACCCATCGCTCCTTGAACCACGTTTGCTTCTCTCTCGGCACATTCCCACGTGGAAGGAAATGTAGTAGTTGAGCTAAAAGGGTCATCTCTATGTTAGAGCGAGTTTAGATCCAACTGTGGTGAAAAAATGCTAGGAGGTCTAGGAAGAAGGGGTTGCAAGGCAGAGGCCGTGTGGCAGCACCCGGCTCCCACAGGATCCCTAGGCAAGGATGGCAGTTCCCCCCCCCTCCTTTGCCTATCCTGATGATGCACACCGGTGGATGCTGAGCAGAAGGCATCATTCAACACACAGCAACAACAGAACTTGGAATAACTACCTTCTCACACTACAGTACCCCAGATTGTCCAGCCCGCTCAGCTTGGGGGAGTTGAAGTAGTCTCCTCCCACCCCCCAGAAAGAAGGATATTTCTTAGTTATGAACAGGAATAGAAAGACCTCATGGGAGCCATTTTAAATGCCATGCCCACAGAAATCCTGAGCAACCCAACTAGAACCATCCACAAACGCAAATCTCCATGGTGTTCAGAGGCCAGCAAGGCAGCTGCTGTGGGCTCCTGTGATTTTTGCCACATCACCTCTTGACCTCTTCAGAGTTTCCTATTGTGTCTGCAACACACATGGTGTAAGGGGGTGTGTGTTATTGTTGCAGCCTGTTCACAGCATTTTGAAGCAGAGCCATATCAACTTTTTCTTTTTCTGTTGAAGCTTGGTTTAGGACAGGGGTGTCCAACCTTTCACCTTCCCTGGGCCACATTAGAAGATGAAAATTTGGTTTGGGCCGCTTGGGGGGGCAGCCCTAGGCGTCCTCCGCAGCCCCACTCCAAGCACGCTTACCGGCAGCTGCGATCTCAGACAGCAGAGGCTGCCAGCTTCGACTCCGGTGGCTTTATGGGGCCGGGAGGGGGTCCACCTATTAACGGGGATGGCGCAATGCAGTCACGCAGCCCCCCTCTCCCCTCCCCTCCCCTCCCACTCCTTCCTTCCTTCCCTCTCTCCCCCCCTACTGTTGTGACATGCCCCAACCGTATTCTGGCCGTAAGTGCCGGCAGTGTAACTTGAAACTTTGGAATTTCTTTAAAAATAAAAAAATTGCACTGGGCCACATTATGAGCTGACCTGGGCTGCAGGTTGGACAAGCCTGGTTTAGGATAACAGGCCCATCTGGAATATTGTACAGCTTTAAAAATAATTACCCTTTTTCATTAGGGATGTGCTTTCCTTCTGTGTTTATATATAAAGTCTTGGATCAGTTAGACACAAGGAGTCCTCTTCCCTGAGAGACTGATACAGCCAGAGGCACCCCATCCTTTGCACCCGTCCCTATGTGCATGACAGTTGCTTCTTTCTTGGCACACATCACCCATCTCCCTGTCTGTCTGCAGGATCCGTGGCCTCAGTTCGGCCCACCTAACCTTTGAAATTCAGAATACGGGTAGACCTTTTCTGTGTTTGCAGCAGGTGCCACCGACTAGCCATATATCAATTTACCCAGGAACAGCTCTCTAAGGGACCCTTTTTCTTGCTGCCCATCGTGAATCTGTTGCCTTTCCTTCCAGTCTCGACAAGTGAATCGGGCAAACAAGAAGGAGGTGGCTGAAGCCAACAAGTATTTCTTCATCGAATCCTGCATTGCCCTCTTTGTCTCTTTTATCATCAACGTCTTCGTTGTCTCAGTATTTGCCGAAGCTTTCTTTGGGAAGTTGAACAACGATGTGGTGAGTGTCCCTGTTCTTCCTGTCCCTCTTTCTCTCTTTCTCTGGTATGGTTGGTTTGTTCGTGCCTCCGAAAGGTTATAAAAGAAAAAAAAATAGTAGTGGAGTCATTATATGAACTTGTCATGCAGGAGTGGGCAGCATGTGGACGTCCAGATGCTGTTGGATTAGTTGCTCGTTTATTTATTTTAAATATTTTTACCCTGCCTTTCTCCTTTAAAAAAGGACCCGAGGCGACTTGCATCCTTAAAAGACAGTATTTAAAAGCAGAAGTACACAAGTACTTTAAGCATCCTTAAAAGACAGTATTTAAAAGCAGGAAGTACACAAGTACTTTAAAAAAGGGTCAAACAAATACCACACTAAGAAAGAGTAAACAAAAGCAATTCTAAAAGACACATTCAAAGCAGTACGTCATAACAATCCATTTAAAATCTCACTCAGACAGCTAGTCACTAAGGGAAAGCTTGCCTGGAGAGAAAGGTCTTGGTCTGCTTGCAGAAGGACACCAAAGATGGGGCTAGCCTGGGAGCAGCAACAGAGAAGGCCCGGTCCTGTGCCCCCCCCAAGACACACCTGGGAAGGGAGGCAGGGCTGAGAGAAAAGCCTCTCCTGAGGATCTTGGTACTGAGTCAGGCTCATAATGGAAGACATGGTCTCTGAGATAGTTTGGACACAAGCCATTGAGGGCTTTTTAGTGGACTCTTAAAGGTTCCTTTCTCAACTACCCCATTTCAAGGCTCCCAAAGGCTTTTCCAGGGTGCCCTTCGGAGCCTTGGAACCTGGAAGGGAGGATTTGAAGCTGTTGATTCATTTCAATTATTTCCAGTGCCAAATCCAGTGTAGGCCAGCATAAGTTGATGCAACAGGATTTTGCCAATGAAATCATTCTGTAGACCACAGTTTGGCTTTTCTCGCCATGTTCTGTCCTTCATGAGGTTCCTTGTGCATGCTCACACATGTGCCCTTCCTCACACCCAGATCTGTCCTTTAAAATAGTTGTTTTTTAAAACATGTCTCCGCTTGCGTTTTCAGCATGAAGTCTGTGCAAATGAAAGTTTCTCTCAAGCTAGACTGTTTCCAGAAAACAATGAGACCCTGGAAGTGGATATCTATAAAGGGGTGAGCAAAGTCTTCAAAAGCATTGTGCAAAAGAAAATAAAAATTAAAAAAAAATGCAGGTTTGGGATTGTTTAGAATTTGTTTCTCATTTTTGTTTAGCTGAGGAAGGAGAGCAGCAAAGCCAGCTGAAGGATGGAGAGCAAAAGGGCCAGCCCATAGCTTTTTGGTTATGATGAGCTGCTGTGGCTGAGAAAAGCCTCCCCCAGAGGACAAACAATTTTTGGTGCTCTTTTATTTTATTTAAAATATTTTCTCCTTAAAAGGACCCAAGGCGGCTTTTAGCAGCCACTGCTACCCCATGTTGCAGGATACAGTTTTAAGTTTTCTAACTGCAAAAGCCAGGGATGCACAATTGTAAAATTTTACGTCTTTGACAGCAGCAAATTCAGGGTGACTTAATCTGAATTAATCCTACCAGTGGTCTGTTTTGCTAATCGCAGGAGGCAGAGTTGGACCACGAGCTGGCTGGCCCATAGCGGTGGGGAGTAAAACAAGTGGGAAGTTAGAAGGAGTATCAGACCTATAAAGGGCGGGATGTATTGGGGCAGGCAGGTTGGATATAGCTGAGTGGTAGAGCCTGGCCGTTGCGAAAGGTTCAACCCCCACCAAGGCCAAGTAGGGCTAGGAGAGATTTCTGCCTGGAGCACAACTGCCCAGTCAGTCACAGCTGACCGTGGTGGTCTGTATGGCCCAATGGTCTGACTCCCCATAAGGTAGCTTTGTGTGTGCGGGTCAGAGGGATAGTGCAGCTGTTGTCATGTGCTGACAACTTATGACACTGCCATTTTATGTCTGTGGAATTGACCTTGAAGGGTTTGACTCCCCATAAGGTAGCTTTGTGTGTGCCGGTCAGAGGGATAGTGCAGCTGTTGTCATCATGTGCTGACAACCTATGACACTGCCATTTTATGTGTGTGGAATTGACCTTCAAGGGTTTCAAGGACTTCACCTTGGCACACAAAAAAAAAAAAAAAAAAAAAAAGGGAAACTGAAGGGAGGTTTTGCTGGACATTGATTGATTCAGCAGCCCATTTTTTTTATTTTGGCTTTGTTTTAAATTGCTGCCTTTGTTACCAAGATGGCTCCAGGCTAATTGGCAGCTGTTTTTTTTCTTTTCTTCTCCTCTTGGATTCAGCTGCCAAGGGGGAGGCAGGTGGGGGAGTTGTTTTTACTCTAGGGAGGCCTAAGCCTCTTCTCCCAGCCCATCCTCTGTCAGGGACGGTGGGGAAAAGTGTTCCTCCATTCTTCCCACCCAAAGGAGCACTCCCTTTGCTTGGAGAAAATGAACGGTGGCCTTCGTTGCTATCTTTCAGCATTGTGTTGCTTATGAAAAGATATACGCACGGTAGCCATGGTCACCCAGCTTGTATAGGGTTTTCATAAACTGCCATACTAGTCTAAAGAGTGTATTTTGAATAAAATGTTGGCAAAAGGAGCTGGCAAGCCTGAGCCTAGAATTCCCCTGCCCATGTCTTTCTGTTTTTTTATTTTTGCGATGTTTTGTGGTTTAGGGTGTCGTCCTTGGCTGTTACTTTGGCCCTGCTGCTATGTACATCTGGGCCATTGGGATTCTTGCTGCGGGTCAGAGTTCGACCATGACTGGAACTTACTCTGGGCAGTTTGTCATGGAGGTATGCTATCCTTCTTCCTCTTCACTGGCTTCTGTTTGTAAGCAGGACATTTTTTCCCTACTGAGTCTACATTATACTTACTGCACAAGCTCTTGTGGGTCTGGTGACTTTTTTTTTAAACCCAAACAACATGTCCGTACAATCATTGAACACCATTAATTTAAGTATTCAAGGTTCATCCATGGCATCCTTTTTGACTCATACTTGCAAAGATAAGATAAAAGAGCACTGTTATAATAATACTATAAAACTAAAATATGGGCATGTGAAGGGATCAAAGATCGAACAAAACGAAACAGAAAGGGCATGTTTAGGGAGAGATCCTGAGCGTGGAGCTGGACATTGATTGGACTTGTGAGAATTTATTTTTGTGAAAGTTGAGCATTTGCTGGATGGAGGAGATGTTTCATGACAATACTAGAAAGAAAAGGATACTATGCTGCCTAAAATATTCTCCATAATTAACCCTATAGTGATTTTGTCGGGATGAAATACAGCTGTGCCTTAGTTCATACCAGGTGGCTGATAAGGAGTAATCAGAGATATTCATCAGAGCTCCGAGAGATCCTTAGCTACCCTGCTCCTGGTTCCACTGCTTGCTTCTTCCATAATAATGGTTGATCTTAACAGCCCCAAGTCCCTGGAAAGATATTGTCAACTCTGCAGAGCTTAAACCCAGAGATATTCATCAGAGCTCCGAGAGATCGTTAGCTACCCTGCTCCTGGTTCCATTGCTTGCTCCTTCCATAATAATGGTTGATCTTGATTTAACAGCCCCAAGTCCCTGGAAAGATACTGTCAACTCTGCAGAGCTTAAACGGTTAAAAAAAGAATGGCCACTATCCTGTGCCAGCCTAATGGAGTGATATTGTTGGCAATAGCAGATTGCTTCTAATTATAAGGAGTGTTTTTTTTATTTCAGTGTGTGTGGCTCTTGCACAGTGAGACAAAGTCACACACACCACAACATTGGAAAAAATTGCTCTTGAATTAAAGGCAACCTGCTGCCAGCAGTGATGTTATTCCTGCTGTGCTGGCAGAGTTCTGTGAGAAACGAGAAACTACAAATGGACAGTTGTGAGATATTTTTGTTTATCCCTCTTTGCAGTCTGAAAAAAGAGAGGTGAGCGAGCTATTAACTGAATGAGCAACAGTGTTAGGGTTTTAGTGCATTATCCAGTGAATCCACCACGTTATTGATAGCCTTCATTTTTAAAAGGTGAGGCAAGGTCCCGCCTCTGGTGAAGCGAAGCCCAAAAAGCTGACAACAGTGTCTACGATGGCATTTAGTAGGAGTGATATTGTACAGAGAACAGAACTCAACTCCTTATGAGTCACAGTCAGTCTTCATAATCCTACTCCAGATTTAACTGCTGGCAAGCCCAAAAAGCTGACAACAGTGTCTACGGTGGCATTTAGTAGGAGTGAAATAAACTACTAATCTGAATCTGGTTTTTCTTTCCTGCCGTACTATATTGCAGTTGAGTCAGAGAAAGCATTGGTAGCATTGTGTAAAAAGTTTGTTCAGTACCAGCTCCTCTTTGTGTCCACAGCCTCATTACTTGACTATTTTATTTCAGATAACAGCTGTTCATTCCGCTTCAGGCAGAACTAGGCTTGTTTTCACTGGTGTGTGTAAAATTTGCAGTCAGATGTTTTTGGCTGACCTTTCCCCGCAAGACAACCTCTTAGCAGTGTGGCAATCGTGGTTTCAGTTTAGGTCAGCACACCCTGTTTTGTGGCATTTACTGGATTCTTAGGCTCAGCTGTTTCCTTTGGACACAAAGCATTTTACCCTCTGCGTGTGGGAGACAAATATTACTGCAATGTATCTCTCATCTCATTCCACAGATTTCCCTACCCCACTGTTTTTGCTGCTTCAGCCCCTACGGTTTTCTCTTCTAATCATCTTCTCCTTCTGCCCCTGTACCACACCTCTGTTCCTTCAGGGTTTCCTCAATCTGAAGTGGTCCCGGTTTGCTCGAGTGGTTCTGACCCGATCCATTGCCATCACCCCAACCCTTCTGGTTGCCATTTTCCAGAACGTAGAAAGCTTGACTGGCATGAACGATTTCCTCAATGTTCTCATGAGTTTACAGGTAATGGCCTCCCCTTAATGAACAGTTATGGAGACACATTCAATCCCAGCAGTTAACGTAGGTACGGTGAAAGAAGACAGAACCCAGGTTTGGTCCAGTTTTTTAATGGCTTAAAAAATGAAATGGTTTAAAAAACAAATTGACAAGCAATCCAGAGTAGGAAGTTCAGCAACATGCATATGTTACCCTGAGGCAGCTCAACAGTATGATTCTTCTGTGGAATGATCAGACACCAAGGCAGAAATCCTGTTGTTTTGGGTTGTAAGTTGCATTAGAGTAGGCCTGTTAGATTAGGCCCATTTGAATCAAGGGAATTTACAGAGGAGCTGATTCACCCAAAGCCCTGCTGATTCAGTGGGCCTACTTTAGTTGCAACCTACTACGGTAAGTGGCAGAGTTTGCACTTAAGATCCATGAAACATAACTTTCATGGAGTGGAAGGGATAAGGCTTCATCCTGAAGCAACAGGCACAAATAGCTTATTAGAAAAATGCTGGGCTCTCTATTGCCTTTGTCTCTTTTGGTTTTTAACTTTCTTCTGTATGTTGAGGTTTGGTTGCATTATTACTTTCAGTTACATGAGGTGCATTTGGTTTATAAAATGATGGGGTGATGGGATTGTAATACTGTTTCTGAAAGCAGTTTTATGTAGACTATCTTGTCCTCAAGCTTTCTTTGCTTGAAGGTCTTCTTTTTTCAGAGATATGGGACTCCTTGTGATGGGACATTTGACAGAAGTTCTGGGGTCTCCTTCACCTTTTTACGGTGTTGCATTAGAAATCATTAGGGATGCTGCTCAGTTTACCTAGAATCAAAGCAAGGGGATGCTGCTCAGTTTACCTAGAATCAAAACAACAGTGAGTGTAGCAGGCCACTCTTAAGCCTTTACCCATCCAGGTCTCTAAGAGTGCTCACTACCTTTCAACAAAAACTGCTGCCACCAAGCTATCCTTAAAATCAAAAAGGACAAATGTTTCTTTCAAAACAAACAAAGTGTTTATTGATTGTACAAAAATAAAAGGGTAAATCACTGGTATAGAATCAAGTTGTCAATTACTGTTTATCAGACACTAGCTCACACAGACTTTTCCCTCACTGACAGGCACTTTCTCACTCTATCAATCACTCTAATCACTCATCTCTCAAAACTGATCTCCTCTCACACATCACACACACCTTATATAACCCAGCTCCTCCCACTTCTGCACCACCCTCCGTCCTCTCATTGGCTGAGGTTCCCCTGCCCAGCTGTGATGGACAGGTGAGAGCAGAGCTGAATGCCACAGTGAGATACAGTTTTTACAGAACCTTGCTTGTCAAAGAAAGAAAAGAAAGCCCATGCATCAGATTTGCATCTTGTAGGGGCAGGGAACACTTCATGGACAAGTGTGAGTTGGGATTGTCCCTGAACATCAAGATACTACTACTACATCTTGCGAACTCAGTGTTGAGACATGGAGTGGGGAGATGCCCAAAGAAAACTACATCTTGCGAACTCAGTGTTGAGACACGGAGTGGGGAGATGCCCCAAAAAAGGTTGGATGATTGTTTTGCACTGATTCCCAGGTTTTCAAGGGCGGCCATAAAAAAACAAAAGCAAAACAGCATTGGGCGGCCATAAAAAAACAAAAGCAAAACAAAGCATTGTGCTTATATACAATCCCATAATGCTTAAAGCATTCTCTGGGCAGTTTACAATTTAATTATCCAGGTTACACATTGCCAGCCCCCAGCAAGCCAAGGACTCAATTTACTGACCTCGGAAAGATGGAATGCTGAGTGAACCTTGAGCCTGCTACCTGGGATTGAACCTGGGTCATGAGCAGAGTTATGGCTGCAGTACTGCAGTATAACCACAGTGCCACAAGGTTTCTGTGAGTTGTAGGTAGTGCAGATGAAAATGCTCCCCCTCACATACTCTTGTTAGGATTGTTCTAATGCAGGAGAGGGGAACTACCAGCCAGTGGGACTAGCCAGACTGGCAAAGAGTCCCCTGTCCATCTGCCCACTCAGGATGGAAGTCAACAAGGAGCTGGCTTTGCTCTCCTCCCTTGTTTCCCCCACTCTAGAAAGGCAAAGTAGGGATGTGGGGGAGGCTGTAGAGCACACTCAGCTCCAGCCAGCATTTCCGCTGAGGGGGATCAGTGATGTCATGCAGGGTGCTGAGAGTCAGCAAGATGGAGGATCAAGTTGACTATCTTAAAGCCATTCCCCAGATCTGTCCTAGTGAGAAAGAACTTGTGAGGAAGTTCTAGTGAGAAAGATCATTCAGAAGTGACTGTAATTTTTTTTTGAAAAGTGTCATAAAAACTATTAATGAAACACTGAGTGTGTCCATTGATTTGTGAGTTTAAAGGCATGTTTCTTAGAGACCGGCCAGAACTAAGGGCTGCCCTTTTCAGTAGCCATCTTCCAATAGCCTTTCAGGACACAAAGATCGTTCCTTCTGAAAAGGAGGCATTTACTTCCCCGGCTGCATACCCTTGCCCATCCATTTCTGGCTGCTTGTAGTCTGACGGAACAAGGAAAATTAAGAGGATGCATCGAGCGCGCCTGGGTTCTTCAAGAGGCTCATCCACATCCCTATTGAATAGCATCTCTCTAGATGAATTTGAAAAGCACCAAAGGCCCCTATGTTGGCATTGATCTCAGGGTAACATCTGAGTGGGAGCATATATTTATTAAGTTTGTATCCCATCTATTCAGTTTGGTCAAGGTGGCATCTATGGCTTCCCAGCATCCTTTACCTTTACAACCACCCTGCGAGGTAGGTCAGGCCAGAGTGAGCAACCGCCCTAGAGTCACTCAAGAGAGTTTCCATGGCCAAGCCAAGTGGAGTCCTGAACCAAACTCTCCCAAATCCCAGTCCAAAATTCTAACCACTGTATCCCACTGACTCTCATGGGTGTGAGTAACATTATATCTTGCAAGCTTGCAGTTATGTCATTGCTACTGGTGTTGAGCTGTCCCCCATATACTTGAGGAGCTATGGTAGCAAAGACATGAAAGAGGGAGAGAGAGAACTCTTAATTTTCACCATTATGAATAAATTATTTCCTTTTTGCATGAATAGCAGATGAAAGAGTATCTTCCTGCACCTAATTCCTTTTTTTTCATTACTTCCAGCTTCCTTTTGCATTAATCCCAGTCCTCACCTTCACCAGTTTGCGTCCTGTGATGAATGACTTTGCTAATGGCCTGTAAGTATAAAGAACTGTGTGCACAGCCCACTCCTAAGTGACTTGAGGACCATCTGAATCTGGAATGTACAATAGATACAGCTCCTCAGTGTCTTGAAATGCATTACCTTTTGGTGCTTTATTTTCACATACACCATCTGATTTCCTTTCCTTTCCACAGCGGCCATGAACACCAAAGTGGTGCTGTCTTTCTGTGATTCTTCCTCTGTGTGTGTGTGTGTGCGTGCATGTGCACGCACACTAGAGATGGACATGAATCAAGTAGTCGTACTTCATACTAAGTGTGCCATACAGCACCAAAGGTGCTGCACAGACCCTCCCCCCTCAAGCTGGCCCACTCACCATGCATTGCAAGCTGCTGGGGTCCTTCTTCTCCAGTGACACTCCAGTGTGGATGGGAGCTCAGCCTGCCCTTCCCTGCCTCCTCCAGCAGCTGACTATTGCGATGAGGAGGCAGGATGGGGACTCCCCCTGCAGAGCCATGGAGGGGTTGGCTACAAAGAAGGGCAGGCTGAGCTCCTGCCCAGACTAGAGTGCTGATGGAAAAGGACGGCCCACATGGTGAGTGGGCCAGCTGTCTGGGGTGGGCGGAATGTGCCATGCAACGTGCTTCATATGAAGCACGACAAATTAATTCATGCCCATCTCAAATATATACATATAGATATGTGCGTACCACATTTTCCCTTCTCAATATTTATTCATTTATTTAAACTATTTTAAACTTTCCTTTCTCCTTAAAAAGGACCCAAAGTGGTTTACAACAATTAAAATGCGGTATGTAAGCTAATTACAGTGAGTATACAATACTAAATTGATTAATAAATAAAATAGCAAAAAATATAAGCAACATCAAAACACATTCAATGCAGTAAGCTACAACAATCCATTTTAAAAACCTCACTTGGCAACCATTCACTCAGGGAAAGCCTGCCTGAAGAGAAAGTTCATCGCCTGCCTGCAGAAGGACGGCAAAGATGGGGCCAGTGGGAGGGAGTTCCAAAGTCTGGGAGCAGCCACAGAGAAGGCCCTCTCCCGTGTCCCCATCCAAACGCTTCTGTGAAGGTGGTGGAACTGAGAGAAAGGCCTCCCCTGATGTTTTTAATGACCAGGCAGGCTCATAGAGGGAGAATCACTTTTGAGTTCTGTGCAGAAAGAAGATCAGCAACCATGTTGTAATGGTGTGTGTGTGTGTGTGTGTGAGAGAGAGAGAATCCTGTGTCCAGCCCCAGTTAGCAATCTGGCTGCTTCATTTTGGACCTGCTGAAGTTTCCTGAAGAAAGGCAGCTGACTAAAGAGTTCTATTCCCCAGTGTGCCTCCTGCGAGTAGAGCCAGCCTGTGTGGCCTTGGGGAAGCTGCACAGCCCCAGGGCTCCCCTGGAAGTGGTAAACCATTTCTGAGCATTCTCTACCTGGAAAAACCCAGAAAAGGGCCACTATAATTTAAATTTATTTTTATTTAACTTATATGCTGCCCACACTACCCAAAGTTCTCTGGGTGGCTTACAGCAATTTGATGGCACATGATTATTATTAATAGAAAGGGAACCTCCTGTGCATGGGTTAAGTTGGCTTGAGCACTAGAACCAGCAGATTTTCAGGTCTTCACTTAAAGCCAAGCCCTAACCACAGATTCACTTCAGCTTGCAAGTAGGTGTGGAGTTGAATCTGCGCAGGAGTTTTTCTTTCCTTTTGGCCCAACAGTCACCTTCATCTGATGCCAAGGCAGAAGATGCCGGTGGTGGTGGCTTATGGCCTGAGTTCAACCCTGCACATGGCAGTGGTTTTATAAAACGACCTGGCTAAATTCTGAGAAGTGGCTTGTGTGGGTTTGCTTTCAGAATTTGGGATTGCCTGGGAGCCCTGCTGAAATCAGTAGGATCAAAGCTGTACCCACAAGGCCATTTCTTGAAATGGTTATCACTGGGTTGTGCTGTGTTTCTTCGCCAGTGAGATTCAGGGAAGGAACCGTGAAAGTGTCAATCCCTGTACAGTATTGTAATCCCTCGCCTATCCTGCATGATTGAATTTCGGAAAGGACCACTCCCTGTGTGCATACGTGAAATTGTGCAAGTCACCATGGCTAATTGCCAGTAATTAATGAGGCGCTGGTTTCATTCACACAACCAGGAATGTGACTGGTATCTCATTCATTAGAGACAATTTTCCACAATGACAGCTTCACTTACATGTGTTTGAACTCACCAGTAGATTCTGGCCACTATATACGTTTGTAAGTGTATTCCTATGAGACAGGTAATGAACAATTTTCTGAACTGGATTGGGCCTAAGCAAAACTCTGCTTTAACTTGTGCACTCTTCCCTCCTCTTCTGTCAGACCTATGAGGAAGACATCAGAAACCATGACTACATTTTAAAATAACTAATTTATTGTTAACTTAAAATCCAGACCACCTATTCATTTTAACTATAGTTTAGAGAAACAAACCAGAATTGGAAACAGTAATTTAAAATTCACTTGTTTCCCTTTTTTAAAAAAATATTTATTTATTTAAATAGAAGATATGGGGATACAGAAGGAAAAAAGGGTAAAGGAAAAAATAAAAGTTTGGGGGGAAAATCAGGTATCATAGGTTCTTACATACAAGGGCAGCCAAGAATGTTTATAATCATACATTTTTCAAAGATAAGACCCATTTATACAGTATCATAATATTAAAAAATATTTCCTCCCCCCCATTCATACATTTTTCAAAGATAAGATCCATTTATGCAGTATCATAATAAAAAATATTTCCTCCCCCCCACTTCTTGGTTACATTACTTCTGCTTATATTGTTCTAAATGATCAAATTAAAATCAAAATTTATATTATCTGCTATTATACTGTACTTACTCTAATTATTATAATAACCAGTGTCCAAAAGAATAATATAAATATTTCAGAATATTGAAAGAAAATCTAACAAAAATACAGAATATCTCATTCAAATTATATTTAACATGAATTTTGAAGCTTCGTTTCTATCTGCCTGCACATAACCTTAACTGAATTTATACTATGAATATATCTTAATTTTATTGATTATTTTAGATAATTAAGCAGCTACTGAATGAAAAAAAAAAACTGGAGGACTGAAAAAACCAAGAAGGCCTGGCGTGATTGTACTAGAAAGGGGTTGAACTGCTGGTGGTCAGCCTCGTTCATGTAACACAAGACCCTAGCAGTGTGTCTGAATGAAGTATTTGAATTACAGGCAACTGGTTAAAAAAGAGCAAACCCCAGCAATGATTGACGGACAGTCCCCCAGTCCATCTCCTCCTGTTGTAATGCTCTTTTCCCAATTTGATTTCTAGGGGCTGGAAGATCGCTGGAGGAATTCTGATTCTCCTAATCTGTGTCATTAATATGTACTTTGTGGTGATCTACGTGACTGCCCTGGGACAAGTGGCGCTGTATGTGTGTGCTTCCATCATCAGCATTGTCTACCTAGCCTTCGTGGCCTACTTGGTAAGGGAACAGTTTGTTGACCTACACCCTTTCCTTATAACAGGTCCCCACAGGACCTCCAGATGTCCTGTCATACCTGGCCAGGTGTCTTGCTGGCTGGGCCTGACAGAGGGTTGGGAGGAGCACAGGAGCAACTGTGCCAGACTCTATTGTGGAGAGAGAATCGTATCATTTCAAAGCCCCCTCCCCCCCAAAAAAAGAAGAGTGATGGTCCCCAAGAGACTCTATTGGGGAAACATTGAACCTTAATCAGATAACTGGATCTGTTCCTGGACCTAAATAATAGCCATTGCTATTACTTAGGTCAAAATCAAATATATTTTCCGAGTTGTTTATCCTCAGACATGCTGCTCTGCTCTTGGGAATGGAGGAATGGAAGTACCCAGCCTATTTCTGCCTTATGTTTCGAAACACAGCTGCTTATGCCTCTCTCCAAAAGGGCATTGGGAGGGGCTGTTGTACGGAAAGCAGCTGGTGCGCTTCACCACTGGCACCCCACTTCTTCTGCTCAAGCCCTTTAGCATGCCCGGATTGGTGCTCTGTCGGTTTTCTGTAGCGGAAAACATATTAGTCCCAATGAGACTAGACTTGTGGAATCAGCTTGGTTGCATCAACAACTTACTTCCATTTTTGATGGGTTCCATTGACTCAGAAATCTGGGACTAAGAACTGGGTGCAGGCCTGTAGTGGCAAGGAGTCCCTCCCCCCGAGCAAATTCACCGTGTTAGCCCTGCTGAAGGTTGACCTGGCCTTCCATCCTTCCGGGGTCTGTAAAATGAGTACCCAGCTCACCGGGGGGGGGGGTCAAGTTGTTTGAATAATTATGTTGTCAGCCACCCAAGAGAGTGCTCTGGCACTATAGGTTAGTATGTAAATTGAAGCAACAACAACAACGAGATTAATGTTTAATTTCCTCTCTTTTCCCAGACTTGGCAGTGTTTAATTGCTCTCGGGATCTCCTTCCTAGCCTTTGGGCACACGGTAAGAGTCACAAGAACCTTGCTTACCGAAGAGCCACCTTCCTCGCCAATTAATTAATTAAAGACTGGGTCTGTCTGTGTGCACACAACAGGTAGCCATCAGGGCCAGTGTGTTTCTATGGTTTACTCTGTGAACATATCCCATTGTATGTGCGATTTTGCACAAAATTTAAGATTATGGTAATGGTGTTAAGAAAAAAAAGATAACCTAGAAGTATGTAATAAGAATTATTTTGGTTGATCTTTTCTTTGCTGTTCCCCTACAATCACACTAAGATGAAATGACTATTCTATTGTAGCATCTGGCTATCATTGTGAGATTTGCCAATAAGTTATTAACACTAAAAAAAACCTTTCAAATTCAATTAATGAGTCAATAATATATTCAAGCTGCAACTCCTCCAGTTCATGGAGATTATCTCCTTCACCAATATATGTTAAAAGATTATTACAATATAAATCACGTTTAACAGACATGAGGTCACAACCTGTGCAATTTGAATGCAAGAAGTTTTGAGGTAAAGGCAGAAACCTTCCATGCTAAGGGGAGCTTATTCACCTATGCCATATATTCTAGATCAGCCCAATGGGTGGGGATGTGAGGAGGGGAGAGAACATAAGAGTGCTAGGCTAACCCCTGTTGGCTTCCATGCTTATTCTCTATGGGTCACGAAGGAGTTTCCCTGTAGGAGAGCAACCACATAAATATACAGCACCCCTCCTCTCTGCAGGCCACGTTAAAGTATAATCCAGGTCACGCTTTCCCAGTTGGTTCAGCTGAATATACAAGTGGTGGGGCTTCTGCCCTGAAACTGGCAAGCCGGTCAAAATTGCATTTCATTAATTAGAACCACCTGACCATTCCTCATTATGATTCAAGGAGGGTGTTAATTAGCAATGCTGAGCCTGCATTTCTAGTTTCACATGGAATCTTGGCCAAGGGGGCTGAGTCAAGTATTTCTCCAGCTAGCATGCAGATACTCTTGAGGTACACCAGCCATTTCTAAAAGCAGAAGTTATTCTAGTGTCCATCAGGTAGCCGGGCTGTCGTCTGCTGTGGCATTTCTGCCCCGCAGATCATGAAAACAGAATAACATGAAGTGGCTGCATATTTTGGCTGAGAAATGATGGGAAGATGGCCAACCTTTTGTTCTTTGATTGAGAAACTGCTTCCGACCACAGCAAGGCGCAGGGTCTCAAGACTGAACATGTACAATGGGCACTGGAATCTTTCCACAGACCTTTCTCTGAGTAGCAACCCCCGCAGGACCCCCCAAATAGCTTTTAGAACAGTCATTGCTGGCCTGTGGATCTTCAAATGCTGTTGGGTTACAGTTCCCAAACTCCCCAGATCCTCATTGGTTGTACTGGCTGAGGATTTGGAGAGTTGGAAGCCCAACAGGCAGGGCTTTAGCAAATATTGCTCCAGAGTGTAAAAGCTGTTCCTGTATTTAAAGGGTTATGTTAATTAAAAGGAAAGTGCATTTCCCAGGTAGCCATCAGTAATGTGAGAATTCAGCCTCAGGTTTTGATAGCTTCCAGAATCACAACTGTGAGAGAGAATATAACCAACAAGTGTCTTTCTCTACAATAGAGGATTCTTGCTGGATTCGACTAAACTTTCTTTACCAAAAAGTATGCTGGGAAGAATTAAAAATAATTCAGCCCATACATAAGAGAAATGCTAGTTACGCTACTGAGTGCAGTTCTGGTGAACAGCAAAGGAGAAAGAATTCTGTGTACCGTGTTTACCTGTTTTTGTCATTAATCTTCGTGTATTGCAATGAAGTAGCATCCATTTTCCCCATAATTCCCTTGCTCCAACAACATCAAAGATATAATCAGGGTTATTCGTATTTAAACTTCCCATAGAGAAGTTAAAATACCAATACCTTGAACAGTCTTCTCTTGGCATCTTCAACACAGATTTTGAAAGACGTGTTCAATTAATGTGGTATGTAACTGCCTTCTCCGTCTGAAATAGTCTGTATTTCTATTCATTGGCCTGCTTCCTGGAACTGCCGTTAGTGTTGCAACATCTTTCCTTTCTCCCTCCTCATAAGGTTCACAGAGAGATTAGAGATGAGAGAAGGCCAATGATAACATTAAAAATTGCACTCCTTGACATTAAGTAGGGTGAGTGGGTAGGTCTGGGTTATGTGTTAAGTATGGTGAATAATTTTTTGGTTGTACATACAGATTTGTTTTTCTCAAGGAATATTGTTTAGTTGGAATCTCCACAGAAATCCAGAGAATTCATAACATAGCTCCCTCCTTTTGTTTTGGAGACGTGGGCTGGTTCAGAAATAGATCTTCATTGTTAACCGAGGTGTGCAGATGTGTGTTTTGGACTATAAATCTCAGAATTCCCTGGGCTTCATTGGGAATTCTGAGAGTTGTCATCCAGAACACAAATCTTCACACTTCTCATTGAAAACCATTAACTCTCCAAGTAACTCCTCTGTTCTTAAATAAGCAAATAGAATATCATAAATAATAATGTAACACTAACTGCCCCTCCCTGGTGGAAGAGGGCCTGTGAACACTAGCAAATAGTAATCACAAATGAAACCCATAAGGAAAGGGTCATAACTAGTGGTGTATCAGCCCCACCACCATGTTCTGCATTCATGAACAAACCTACGTGTGTATGTCTTTTTTAAAACACACACACACAAACACACACTGCTAAATCTTAGCTTGCATTTTTGGAAGCCTAGGTTTTCTGCTCTTTACTAGAAACCAGACTGTTGTAGGACTGGTGTTATCGTCGGACATCCTTAGGCTCCAGGTGTCTCTACAGTTTTAAAATAGGTGAATATCACTCTGACCCCTGAATGTTTGGCAGTTGGAGAAGACCATAGGTTAAATAGTAACTTTTTATCAGGGCTAACCTCTGTCCTCTTTTGGACAAATATGAAAAATTGCACATATTCAGCACATACTTAAGCAGGCTTAAGCCCTTTTCAGACTGAGGAAATTATAGGGCTTTTAAGTACTGGGCTGGATTTGAACCAGTGAAAATCATTGTAGCATCTTATTAGTAAACAAAGAAATTAACCCATAAATCAAGAGGAACCTAGCTACCCACAGAAATTTCTGGTCATACTTTTTCAAAGTGGAAAGATATCTCCCCAGTTGTAGCAAATGTAAAATATTCTCAGCTGTGTATGTGTTCATAGGTACTGGGCACTAGGTCTGTTTGAGGCCCAGAATAGATTTTTTTTGTTTCTCTGTTGTCTGCTGGTAGGGTGCCAAATTAATGGCTTCTACATGAATTCTTTGCCTCAAGGAGGTAAAGCTGTGTGTACTTAAGAGTTATGTTGGAATTTAGTTGACTCCTTCCCATGTCCCACAGCAGTGTGCAATTGTACAAGTGGGGCAAAATGCACTAATTCAGGCACAGTTCATAGTACTAGACCAATCTGGTGTTCTACCTCAAACAGCTAGATTAAGCATTAACTGGAATTCCACACACACACCCTCTGTCTCCCTCCATGAACACTAAAATTTAGTTTCCCATACAGGGAAGTTTTCTCTTACAGAGATGGAACTTCAACATGTAAAGTGTTTGATTTAAGTGTATAATGGGGGTGGGTGGGCGTTGCAGCTGCTACACAGCAGGGCTGTTGGCATCCTTCTGTTCTTTTCAAAGGACTTTGGTCACTCTTGGTGTAGAAGGTTTCACATCCCGTTGCAAGCTTATTAAAGTTCCTACATTTTAAGAGCTGTTGATCCTGATCATCTCATTTCTTCTGGTTTCAATTGTGCTGGCTACATCTTTGACCACATTTTCTGTATATTAAAGAACCTGTTTGAAAGCCCAACTCACAGTAGGTAGTATTTGTAAAATTCTGTTTTGCAAACTCTGAGAATACATCCTGCCTTTTCTCGTGGAACTAGTGGTATGACTTGAAACACTATGAACAGTGCATGGATAAATGTTTTCTGTTTGGCATAGTAGCCTAGTTTACACGGAGGCTGGTTGGAGACTTGCAATATTTACTTGCAATATTTAGCAGCCTTCAGCAACTCTACATTTTTCTTCTATGCACTTTAGTTTTATAAGTTCTCAGAAGAAAAAAAGAACAGCTGCCTCTTGAGATGTCAATTTCTGTCTGACACTGTTTTCAGAATGGTGCACGATTCTGGAAATCAAAGCTATGTAGCCGTCGCATAGTAAAACATCTGTGCTACATTTGGGCTTGTATAATCTGTGAAGCAAATGTCTATTTTTATCTAATATAAACTAGTCTGTATAAATAAGAATTTCAATTAAAAATTGAACATTTTTCAACTTGGGTCTCTTTCTTTTTGGGAAGTCTTACAGGACCTTTCTCTGAAACGCACACAATATGTTGTTGTTTGGTAAAATCTGTACACACACGTATCCTAATCTAGATGCAGGCAGTTTCTCTCTTCCATTCGCTTGTGGAAGGACCAATGCATGCACTCCTTTGCAAAATACACCCTGGCATTGAAGGGAACATGATAGCTCCCATTCCCTCCTAGGGAGCTTCATACATGCATCAGGTTCTGTATCACTATCCTGTGCTCTGCAAAATAGAGATACATCGTAGGAATAATGCTGCTGGTTGGCTGTACATACTTTCTGATGGCCAGGAATGGTGTACAGAATTAAACTTCAAGAGCATCACAGTTCCCTTAACAGAACATATCCGAGGCATGACAAGGTATTGCTCTTTCTTGCTTAACCTGCAGTCTGATTTTAATACTCCCTCTGGCATAAGATAAAGTGCAATCCAGCCAGGTGTTCATTTCAAGTAGAAGGAATTATTGCTCTTTCTTGCTTAACCTGCAGTCTGCTGATTTTAATACTCCCTCCAGCATAAGATAAAAGTGCAAACCAGCCAGGTGTTCATTTCACGTAGAAGGAGTAGGATACTAAGCCCTTGCCAAGATTCACTGCTGTCATATTTGGGGGTAGGAAAAGGGAGTGCATGCTTTGGGTTTGACCCCTTATGCATCTGCCAGGAGTCTAAAAGATTTCATGAAGCACACTCTGTTTGCTTGCAGGCAATCGTATAAGAGATAATAAACATGCTGACTTGTCTTTAAACCCATTGTTGGCAGTGTCTATATATTTTTTAAATTGCTGCTCCTTGCTTAACCTGCAGTTCTACTGGTTCTAATATTCTTTCCAGCATAACAAGAAACTGGGGCTGCGGTGGGGAATCTCCTACCTTTTTAAAAAATGCATCTCAGTGATTCATTCAGATTCAGGCTGAAAAAACAAAGAGTGCAACAACAAAGGATCCGTCAGAGCCTCTGTTGACGTTAACTTTTGAGAGGAGATGGAACAGGAGCCCTTTCCCATGTTTTATCGTATACAAGTACAAAGTAACTGAGGTGCTCAATAAGGATGAAATACGGTTTGGGGCAAAGTATGCCTGATATTTCAGGCCTGATACTGGAATATATAAACATCCATACTAACCAACCAGCCAATCAAAGGTCAGCAGATTCTATTTCCAAGTTAACAAAATGGCGTCTGGGGCTGGGCTGAGGGGTAAACTTCACCTGCAAAATGAAGAGTTGTCTTCCTCCTACACAAAAGTTTGTTCAAGTAATAGCACCCGATATACGGTATTATGCGTGATGGGAATTTTCTCTCCTCCCCCTTCTTTTGTTACAAGCTTTCCTTGCCAGCTTTAAGGGAACTAGAAGGTGTAAGTAACTTTCTACTTTCCATAAGAAGTGCTCAGTTTAAACTTCATATTCTGTTTGGTCATGCAATATATTTTAATTGTTAAATGTCAAAAATGTTGTGTAGATTGCAATGTATTCAACCATTGGTTTGTCCATTTCAATTTGTACCTTTGTAATGTGAAAACGTTGATGCTGAAAACAAACTCCTGAGGGTAACTTCAGTTTTTAGAATCCCTGGCTGAGAACCACTGATCTAGGTCATGTGTGACAATATAGATGCAAACATTTGTTTGTTTTTAAAATCAGATCTATATGCATATATTCATTTATCTTTTAGGTAACTTAGGGTAATTTTTTTCTGTGTACATTATTGTTCTGGAAGAGTTACTTAGGACACGTGAGTTGTGTCCATTTACGGTTGTGTGCTCTCGGTGTGTTTCTTTTATGAAGACAGTCAAGAAGCCATATTTTTTTTTATCTTTGACATTTCTTCAGAATTCTTTGTCTAAAATTTGGACAGTGCAAAGTAAAACAAAGGAACGTGGAATCAAAGGAATGAAGTAACACTATCCATGTCTCTGATTCTCTTGGTGTGATTGTAGCAATACATAGCTGGTTTAAACTGAAATCTATTTAAATAGTCCAAATTCTGCATGACTGACAGGAAGATAGAGAAGTAGATGGCTTTTAATGATCTGCCTTAGGAGGTTGAACTTTTTACCAAGAAATTAGGAAGTAATTTCCTAATTACGTATCCCACAGTCAATGTGCAGTATGGCTTACCAGTACGTACATGAATCGCCTGCCACAAAGGCCCATGCTACTCAATGCCGCACAGGAGAACATGTTGCCAGTCACTCCTTCCTACCATACATCCATTTAGAAAACTGTATTATTCTTAACACTCAAGCAAAACTCCGTAAGAAGTTTGCATATCTAAGATCGTCTGTTGGGGAAAGTTGGCAGCACCACTTGGGTTTTTGTTGTTGTTTGTGGCATCAACGTATTCAACATTTGGCTGAAATATGAGAAGCCAGGCCCCTGCGCAGCTTCACTGTTCTAAAAGTCTCATGACACCACGGTTTGTCCTGATCCATGGGGCATGCTGCGAGGAACGGAGTGACCTTCAGTCTGGAGAGGAAACGCCGTGTGTCCCCAAGGTGTCCGGGCTCAGATCTCCTTCCACTGAAATCCACCAGGAAAATGCTTGTGACTGTTCCTAGATCAGCAGGCTACCTGTACAGCTTATCTTATCCCTGATGTAGTTACCACATGGACAAAGGAGAGTTTGAGGCATGTTTAGAAAGCAAAGAAAGCCAAGGCACGAATGTCAACCATTCACCTTAAAACTGTAATACTCCTCAGTTGAAAGCCATCACAGTGTTTTGGGTAGAGTGATGGACTAGGACACAGGAGTTCTAATCCCTGCTCGGCCATGGAAACTCACGGGGGAGCAGTGGTAAATGCACTCCCCTTCAATATCACATACCTTGAAAACAGTAGTAAGGTTGCTATAAGTCGGATTCAACTTGATGTCATCTATAACACAGCACACACTTCTTTGTTAGAATGCTGTATGGGTGAGGGGGGGACGACTGAGAAATCAAGGTTCTAATCTGCACTGAGCCAAGAACGTCAGTAGTCAGCATGGCCAAGTTGTACCATCTCAGCCTACATGAGTGCTGTGAATACAGAGTAGGAAACGAGAGAGCCCTGTGCAGTCTTGAACTCATCAAAGCAAAGGCAAGATACAAGGGTTAAAAACCAAATGGTGTGTGTAGACACAGGCTGATTCTGTAAATAAGGTGGGGGAAAAGAGTTAAGGTGTAGCTTAGCTCAGAAGAAAAAAACCCCAACCATCATTCTGGTTCTGGAAATAGGGCAGCAGATGCAACTAAAGAGAAGAAGTAACAACGTTGTGCGTTGAACAATACAGAATTTGGAATACCATATGAATAAACATATTCCGATATATGTTTTCATGGACCAAAATCCATTCCTAGTTAGGTTGGTACCTAATGTCCCAAGAATAATGAAGAGGGTGGTCTTTTCCGTTTGAAGTGATGCTAGGTCCTCAAGCAATGCCAAAGAGAAGGGTAACACTCAAAGTCATATACTGTACATATAATACTGATTTCCATAGAATATATTCAAACAGATACAATATCCAGTTAGTGTGAATGCGAGTCCCAGCCATAGATGTTGTTAGGATAAAGTTCCTATCGGTACTTGCCAGCACACCCATGATGGGGGGGGGGAGATAATGGAAGTTTCAGTTCAACATCTGGAAGGGCACATGTTCTCCACTGTGATAGTGAACAAAACCCACACAAAATGCACAACGGTAGCTGCATTTATAGCTGAGCTAGAGCAATGCTTCCTGTTAACATCTGGACCCACAGAGAGGAGGCCTTCAATAAATTCCACCTGATCTTCTGTTATTTTCATCATACTATTAGCCCACTCTATGCGGTTGATTCATTTTGTGGACACCACCCTTACAACTGTATGAGGGGACAATGGAACAGCACTCTTATCCACTCCCCTGAGAAAACACTATTACACCACAAATGCCTGCATGCTAGGAGACAACAACTAACCAGAGTATATGCCACTTGCTAGTTGGATACAGCCAAACATATGCTATAAATGCATTTCCTCCAAGGTGTCCATTGGGCACAGAAAAAACACTTGGCACAGTCTGCAGTGTGCATTCTTGAAGCCTGCCATGCAAACTGAGGAGAACGAGAAAATAGCAGCAAGCTGAGAGGGCAAGCCCAGCAAGACGCTGTGACAGAACATGGGTTCTCATGCGTAGTGCTCACCTGAAATCTCATTCAGGATATGCAAAATGAAGGTCCCCACTGAGCAGGCCTTGCATGGAACATCTGCCCTTGCTTAAGAAGGCAGGCCCTCAGCCCAATGATATCACTCGCCCTGCCAGCACAGGGACAAAACCTTACAACAAATCCCAGTGCTACAGCCCTCATTTAGGTAACACAATCATGTGATCGAATGACATCAGCTGTACTATGAAAGATTCATTCACCTACCTATCATCTAATGGGATCCGTGGCATCATCTGCCTACAATGGGCATAGACAGCTCAGTGTCTTACACAAGAGAATACTGTAATTCATGACAATTAGTGAGGAGAAGTCCCTGTCTTTGTGGTCATTCTATTTGCTGTCAAGCCAGATCTGAATTACAATGACCTTTTTCGGGGTTTTCTAGATTTAAGAGTACTCAGGAATGCTTTACTTTTCCATTCCTCTGGGGGCAACCTGGGACTCGGCCACTTGCCCAAGACTATACAGGCCGGCCCTTCTCAGATGCTGAATTGTTAAGCTCTGGGTCCACAGCCAGATACGTAGTAGGCATAAAATCATAATTGGTTTAATTAATTAGCTAGTTAATTGTGTGCCATCAAGTCAAAGTCAATTTCAACTTCTGGTGGCACTTGGCCATAGTTTTCTCTGTGTGTGTTCTGTGCCGTTAAGTCAAAACTGACTTATTTCAACCCTAATAGACCTTTCAAGGTAAATGAGATATTCAAGGAGAGGTTTTGCCAGTTCGTCTCCCCCAGTGAGTTTCCATGGCGGAGTGGGGATTTGAATTCTGTTCCACAGAGTCCTGGTCCATCACTCCATCCACCACACCACACTGGAGTTTCTAGGTACAGAAGATGTAGATCACAGTGGCAAATTGTCGCTTGTTAAGGAGTCTCTGCTTGTATTCCTTGTTGAACACCAAGTAACATGGATTGCTGGTACAATTAACTGATAGAATATTGGCTATGGATTTCCAATGAAGATTGGTAGTTTGACTAGTTTTTCCTCCCACCTCAGCAACATCCAAATGTACTTGGCTGGCAAGTCCCACCCTCTCCCTGCTGGCTGAGTCTGGTGGAGCCTTGGATCCAACACATCTAGAGGTTGCTTCGTTGTGGAAGGCTGACCCTAGTGCTCTATCCATCCGTTCTGAGGTGATAGAACTGCACCAAAATGGGTGTACTTAGTGGAGCAATTGCCTGGAAAAATTGGGTGCTGAGTGAGAAGCTACTCACCTTCTCTTGCAAATGCTTGCCCCCACTCCAGAGGCTAGCCTTAGAGGCATGATGCCAAGGGCCTTTTGGTTTCCACATCCTAAATAGCATCCCTAATTGCCTCTTTCTCCTTTGTCGCCCATATCTAGTATCACCTGGGACTCACTGGTCACCCTGAACTCTTCCTCCTGAACAACGTGGATGCTGCCCCAGTCTTGAGTAAATGAATCCTTCTGAAGCAGAGGACATAAAAAGTGGACTTCTCGTTTTAAAAAAAGGAAGAAAGCCCTCCTATGCTGCAAAGAACAACATTTTAATTGGTTCCAGGAGGAGGATGTATGGTTGAGAATAGAAGATGGAGGCAAGCTTCTTTTGCTTTAAGAGGAGCACAAGTGAGTAGGGACAGTGGATGCCTCTTAAGGTACTCTTGAAAAGAGAATACACTCATGGTCAAACTCAAGGTCAACTGTGAAGGCTGTTAAAAGGGCTACTAACATCACACACCATAAAGGAGCAGTCTTGTATGTAATGGTGACACGTAAAAATCTTATTGTGTGGGTGACCACCAACTAACTGCAAAATGGTGGAAGGGGTGTTGATAGATACAGAAAAGCAATTAGTAGATGCTTTTCTCCAGCCCTACATCTCTGCTGTCCCCCCCCCCATCCCATAACTGGTTTTCTCCTTGTTGGGCTTATTTTTTTAGTCTTGGAGCCCAATTGGGTTGAAAATGGCTGGAGAAGAAGGTTCATCTTCTGGGAGAGCAGGAAACCAAAGGAAGGTTTGGGACCCTTTTCCCGTCTTCTGTTCTTCCACTTGAAATTTTGCTCTTGCTATAGAAATGGTGGGCAGTGAGCCATTCTTGAAGATAGCCGCGACCATCCCCTGTAGTTTTGAGCGTCCATCCTCAGAGAAGGAGGTCTCCTGCTCTGATCCTCCCATGATCAGCAAAGAGGAACTCGGCCACCATGTCTCCCTGAGGGACACAAGAGCAAAGGAGGGGAAGGTGGATGTTCTGGAGCCTTTCTCACAGCTGGCGAGACTACCTGTACTTGTTCAGAGCATAGCTGTGACTACAGGCATTCCAGCACCACCTCTCTACTGAGCCTATGGATCTGGAGAAAAACAGCTTTTCTTTTTTGAGAAGCAGGGCAGTTTGCTAGCATTCATGGTGTTGAACAGCTATCAAAAAACGCAAACCAAAATGTTTTGTAGTAAGACCAAAGAGTGACAAGCTTGTGACTTCTCTTCTGACTGCTCCAATATGTCCTTTAATCTAGGACCACTGTACACGTACGTTGTGCCTTTTAACTACCTTTCCCAACCAACATGGTGCCCTTCCAGGAATAGTGGGCTGAAGCTTCTACCTTTCTCATCTGGCTTTCTTTCCTTCTCTTTCATCCCTTGCTCTGTTCTGCAGCTAGAGTAGAGCTGCTGAAATAGCGCAGATTGCCAAATCTGAAATAAGCTGACAACTTTAGCAAACCTTGACTTTTAACAATTCAGATCTAATTATTAGATACAATAAAAAATAACAGAAGTCTAAAATTACTGTTACAGAAAGGGTGGTAATTTGCATTGTTTAATCCACTTCTAATGAAAAGTTTTTGTTTTGTTTTTTAAAAAGCATCTGTAGCAAACTAAGGCCACTTCTGGCTTTTGTTCTTTTGCCTTCAGTTTTACAGATAAATCATGATAACGAACGAGGCAATATAGTTCAGACGTAGATGGATCTGAGAAAGTTCAGGATAATTCTTGATGTATAAGCAGATTTATCCACCCCTTCTGTGTATGTAGAAAGCAATAGCAGTTGGTGCTGAATTTTGATTCCTGCATCAGTTTTCATCATGTTCTCAGTCTCGTATGCAGAATGAAGGATGCATGTAGCAATGTGCAATGGCCAAAATCTTATTGGCGTTCCTGTAAGGTTTGAATAACCTGCTAAGGGCAGCTAATTGTCAAGGTGTTGCGGTGCTTCCGGTGCATGACAAGATACATGACTGAGATGTGTCACAACATCTCATAAACTGCCTGCAATTAGCTGCCACAAGTTATTCAAAGCTTATGTGAACATCAAGAGAGTGCTGGCCAAGGTCTGCAGCACTTCTCTATTTTGAACCCATTTTAGTGTGCAGAGCACATCCAGGCTCCATTTATTAATGTCGTCTGCATGTTGCCTGCGATGAGGGATAACCTGGTGGTAACAGGGCTCTAGAACAGTGGCTCCCAACCTTGGGCCCTCTGATGTTCTTGGCCTAAAACTCCCAGAAGACTTCACTGTTAGCTGGGCTGGCCAGGATTTCTGGGAGTTGCAATCCAAGAACATCTGGGGACCCCAGTTTGGGAACCACTAGTCGAGAAAACAAGTCTAGACGCTGATGCATGGATTTAGTCTGCAAATTGCACTTGCTGGCTGCATAAGGGCAGTCACACAGTTTATAGTCAGCCTGGAGAGTCACCCTTTTTGCAGGCAGCCATAACCTGCAATTCTGCTTATGATTCAGTAAGCCTCAGTGAACTCAGCATGACGTTCTTCTGGGTAAAAAGGGTGCTGTATTTTTTTTGCAGTCTGCTTTAATCAGACGATGTAAGGCCACGAAAGAGATAATAGTTGAATTGATGTCCCTTAACATATTACTGTACTAAGTCACAACTGGAGTAGGTCCACTTGAACCAATGGAACTTACAGAGGAGTTGACTTACCAAATCCCTACTGATTCAGTGGGTTTACTCAAGTGCAACTTACTGAGCCAAGCAAGAGCATATCGGCCAGTATTTCATCAGGATTTCACGACCTTATCCAAAATAGGTATGTTTGATCTGAAAACGTAGGTTTTACCCTGTGTACTTTGGACTAACATTAAAAGCAATAGTTCCCACCCCATCCTGTCTCAAAATGTCATTATCTGTATCTGAAAGCACACAAAATATTTGACAATGTGTTACAAAACATTCAGGAGAAACTGCCCATTGTCATCATGGTGTTTTTTTAAAAAATACCTCTGCAGTCTAAATTGTGCTACAAATCTGTTTCCTGTTTTGGTTTCTGCTATTTTTATTTTTATGTTTGGCACTAATTTATTTCAGAGGTACTGGCTATTATTTTATTTGTTGTTTATTTCAACTTTGGTCAAGAATTTCAAATAAATATGTCAATTATCTACTTCTTCTTGGGATTTTGAACTTATTCTCTAGTACTCACAGTTACCACTGACTCACTTTGGTTCCAGTCTTTCATTCATTCGTTCATTTGTTTGTTTGTTTGTTTGTTTGTTTGTTTGTTTTTAAATGTGACATGACTGTTTCTGGTAAAAGAAAGCACAGAAGTGCATCAAATAGTTTCAGACTTGTAGAGAGTACAGGGCTCCATTCCTCTTGGTGAACTGTTGGGTGGGAAAGGGAGATTAAGTTGAAGAAGATGGAGCGCAGAAATCATTATGGCATGAGCGTAAAATAGAAGGAGGTTGAAGGCATGGAAAGTGCTGGCAGAGGAGTACTAAAGAAAAAAGGTAAGTGAAAATGCAAAGTCCCAAATGGGTGATGCAGAAAACCCTTGGTCCCTATACATTTTCCCACATTCTATGGTATATTTTACCATACATTATCCCCAATTTGTAGAATCCTCATTGCTACATGGCAGTAGATGTAGAGGCTCAAACTTGCCTGGGTGGGAGCAAGGAAGTTAACTGTATGAACTTCCAGACTGAATTTAATTGCACTGTATCTAAAGGCCATTTCTCACACGACCCAGAGATAATCCAGGAATGGCTGTCGTAGACATGTTCAGCAAGGAGCTGAGGTTAGTCCTGACTCTCTGAAATGGGCCACTTGGGTTCATACTTACCAAGAAATACTGGTCACACATCACATCATGTGTATACGCTGTAGCAATATGTAATTGGCCTGTCTTTTAAAAAGGATTCATTTTGTTGTGTGTTACCTAACTTTCTCCCATCCCTCCTTATCTTTAACCCCCAAATCCCTTTTTTTAAAAGTGACTTATTTTACTTGTAATTCTCTCATTGCTTCTCAGTTTTTGGGACAGGACAATAATCTGCAAAAGTAAAAATATGGTGTAAGAACCAAAAGAAATCCTTTTGAAAAAAGGGGGAATGTATCAGTGTTACCTGTTAAATGAAAACCAGTTAACGCCATTTCTAGTCATTATCTTACTGGTGAAAGGATTGTTATTACATCCACAAATGGAACATGTCACAGGTACATTCATAACATATAACGCATTGCTTCCAAACCCTGGCCTGGTCAACCTCAATCTCTGAAGCCATGCTCCGAAGCCAGGACAGGCTCTGTCTGTCGCTCCAGAGGTTTTGAACTACAACTCCCAGTCTTCCTCTCCATTTACTGTGTGGGCTAAGGTTGATGGGAGATACAGCCTGCCAATTACAGGAGGACCACAAAGTGCCTAGTTTTGTCCTATATAGACAACGCAGAGCTATACATTTATATGTTATACTTATATATCTGTTGAAGGTCCATCTCCAATAGTTGGTTTAAGCATATAGTCAATTTTTGAGCCAATGGGAGAACCAGCAGAAATCCTAGTACTCTGCTTGTGGCATGTTCTTAAACACTTTTATACACACAGGCACACTGAACTCTAAGTTTTGTTCCCTCTTTTTACTCCCATTAGAGGGGTCATTGATTTGGATGTACTTTGCGTACAGAACACCTAACAAAAAAAAGGATGGTTTTGTTGTCTGTGTTTATATCAATAAACCACCTAACAGGTCACTTTTTCGAGTCTGTTACCACAGATAATGGCCCTTCAAGGCAACAGCCTTGCTAGTCACCACGGCCATAAACCTTTTCCCATCTATCTATCTATCTATCTATCTATCTATCTATCTATCTATCTATCTATCTATCTATCTATCTATCTATCTACTGTCTGTCTGTCTGTCTATCTATCTGTCTGTCTGTCTGTCTGTCTGTCTGTCTGTCTGTCTGTCTGTCTGTCTGTCTGTCTGTCTGTCTGTCTGTCTGTCTGTCTGTCTGTCTGTCTGTCTGTCTGTCTGTCTGTCTAAATGAATTGGCAAAAATCGGACCGAAGATGGTCCAGAAGATGAAGGATGTAATACGCAACAAAAAAGTGAGATTGGATTTGAAAATGTGCAGGTCGCCATTAAAAAAGATAGAAGTACAGTAATTGGAATGTGTATTTATTGCAGAATGCTAGGAAATTCTTGGACCAAAACAGTAAAAAAAGAAAGAAACTAAAGCAAATAAAGACCAAGAAATCATCATCATAATTATGCCTTCATGTCAGTTCTGAGACATGGTGACCCTTCCCAGGATTTTTTAGGCATAAAGTCTTGGGCATAGAATATTTGTTGTGATATCAAGTAGTATAGCCTATGTATATGCTTCTTATCCTCTTGGAAAAAATATGAAATGTTAATGTGGCAAATCAACGATATTTATAAGGCCTCTTTCCCTTCTGTTTTCCTGTCCCTTTTCCTGTGAATATTTTTTTTTGTGGGGGGAGGACTCAATAGACAGATTAACTGATTGTCTGACCTGGGGCAGGAAAGTATTTCCCCAGAACTCATTGGCTCTGGAACATGACTTAACCCTCTTTGAAGAGAACCATCCAGAGTCTGCAGAAGTTACCTTAATCAAGAAAGCCTGCAAAAAGTTTGACTGAGAGCAACCCTACAATCTCTTCACACACAGTAAAGACTTGGCTTTTTGCTCAGGCATTTTAAAGGAAATAGTGTAGTCTTGTTAGTCAATGCTCTTCCAAATACAACCTTTGTTCTCCTTAAAGCATTGGATTCTGCATTGACATTATCAGAATTTTTCTCACTATCCATCTTATGTTCCTTATGTCTTCATTCCGACAATGGTTTTTCTGTGAATTTCAACTCCATTTCATTTTTCAAGAAAGCATGGTTTAATTTTAGTATCACTTTGTAGTGGGATAAAATCGGGAGTTCATGTCCCCAGTGAAACTCTCCAGTCAGAAGCCTTTAATTAGCATTCATTTAGCAGAGAGGAGGGTTTCTTAAAGAGAAGCAAAATTCTTAAGAGGTTTTTAAATACATAGATACGTTTGGACACATATTACAATAAATCCAATGCTCTTTTTAGCACAAAAGGTGCGACTACAGGCAAGAAAAATGTGATTTTATTCACTGTGAAGTCACACCAAGGAGTTTGGCTTTGCCTGGTCAGTTTGCATTAACTGGTCACAAAGTGAGAGAGGAGGAATGCTTTGCTTGTTTGCAGCTTTATTGAAGCACTGTAGGAGGCACAGTTACAAGGGAACTGCCTAACAAGCTGTAAACAAGGCTTTCCTCCTCCCATTTCTTCCTCTTGTTAGCTTTTATTTTTGAGTACCTATTGCTAGCACCAAGGTGTCAAAAAAGAGAGAGTCTTGTATTCCAGTAACTATTTCATTAGATTACAGAGAAACGCCCCTTTAAACTTTGGAGCACTCCAGCTGTATTTTGTTTCCTTTGTACAAAGCAGCTAAGTCTTTTCACTGCAAGGGGACTATAGGCAGCCCTGTGAGTTTTGATGTTCTCAAATAAAGGAAGAAGGGAAAGAGGGGGTAACATTTTCAAGTATGCTCTGGACTTTTGCTGATGGAGAGAGGCTTTACAGACTGCCCCTAAGCTGTTAAAAAAGAAGTTTTGCTTGCCTTTAGCTATTTTTTAAAAAAGCCTTGCCGGCAGGCTTTGCTCACCATTGCCTGAGTGTGTGCTGACATGATGGCTTTTCCGCTTAAGTTCAAGGAATTGCACATCTGAACCAATGCAAATGGATGAGTTTTGGTTAAAATTGGAAGCCCCAGCAGCAGAGGGGAAAACTACAGATGTGGGGGGGGCCGAACTCTGGGCTGATTCACATCTTCCTTTGCATCATGGGGTCAATTGGAGGAAAAAAGGGCATCAGCCCACCCCAAAGCCTTAGCCTTTCCCACATATTTTGCCAACATGGTCACACCCTAAGTAATAGAAAACAGTGTGGAACAGTACTACATCTACAAGAATCCATCATCTGTTGCTATTTGGCTTGATATTTTGTTTTACAGTTATTCACTCTTTCTGTTAGATTCATTACATGAACCACCAGCACCACTCTGTCTTTCCTGATAGTTTAGCGTTTTAGCACATCAGGGTGTTTTAAACATATTTACCTTTTAGGTCCTTTTTGAGACTCACATGTGGAATGAGTAGTACTTGCAACTCAACTTCCCAGCTTCAGGCTGCAAGCCCAAGACATAATTAGTTTCTTGGGAGTAAGTCCCATTGAACTCAATGG